TACAGCTCCATACAAACACACACACACACACAGCTGAAAGGTAGTAAGCTGGGTTCACAAGAATGGCAGAGAAAGTTACACAGGTATTTACAACACCTACAACAAAGAAAGAAAGTAAAGAAAGACAGAAGTAGAAAAAGCAAGAGGTCAAACCAGAGTGACCCTCAGCGTGGCTTTTCAATGGTGGCGAAAACTGGGGGAGTTGAAAGGCCTGGAAAGCAACACCAAGGTTGCTATTTTCTGTTGGACAGGTAATTATCTAGTTTGTTTTGTTTATGTGGGAATTTGTTATTTTCCTAAATTATGTAGTCAGTGTAGCTAATTATGTAGCTACCTTTTGTATTAGGCCTGGGGCCCATCGATCGTGATCAACCTGTCGATTGCATAGTGCATGTTGGTAGATCATGCCTCATTCAAGCAGGCCATCAAATTTCAACTATTTCTTACTGCTTCTGGCAGTGGGCAGGTCAATGTGATTGACTGACATGAAATGTGGCCACTGTCTATTTAATTTACCACTTGCTACCATAGCTACGCCACAGCCCACCTAAAGCACTCTGTGAGTTTGCCTCTCTAGTGATCTAGAAAGTTTTCATTTATCAGTAGTCAGTTCATGTAGTGCCATTTTTTGCATTTTCCTTTTGTAACCTACACTGACTATTCCAGAAAATGAGTGGGAGATCTAGCACAAAGAAACTGAAAACCGAAACCATCGCACTTCCAAAGAAGGGGAACGTCGAGAGACATTTACACACTATACACAGAAACCACAACGACGAATTCCCAGCTAAAAGTGAACTCAGGAAGCAAAACGTTATCCAGACTACACAAACCTGCTGACACCATTCAGTGCAAATCATCAGAATAAAGTTGTGATTTTTAAGTAGTCGTTTGCCCTGTAATGCTGAATATCAATATATGCCACTGAAGTGCATTAAAAAAGTTTCAAAGCTTTTAAAAAGGATGAGGCCAGCCTTTTCTTTTATTTTTTTAAAGGTAGATCACGATGACCTGTCCACTGGAAAAAGTAGATCTCAGGCCACAAAAGTATGGTCACCCCTGTATTAGGCTAGTCCAGCGCCAATGTTAGCTAAACTGTAGGTGTAAGCTAGCTAGCTATGTTTATCTTAATTTTAATCTGGTTGTATATATGTTCTTAGGCCATGGTGCGTTCATGTGTTTTGGAGGAGTGGCTTTGGAAGGAGGGCTGAAAGTAGGGGATGGGATTTTTTTTTCAAAAACTAGCTTACGCTGCCTGGTTTCTACAAAATCACCTACCCCAGCTTTAAATGGCCTCAGAAAATATTTTAATAAAGGCCCATATCATGGAAAAACAAATTCTCCTCACTTTTTAAAAAATGATTTAGTATGTAAACAGTGTTAAACTCGAAAACAGTGGAAACTAAGCTGCAAAAACAACCTTTTTTGAATTAATTTACATATATCCACATACTCAGCTGACAGGACGTTAGCTCCACCCAATTACTGTGAAGTTATAAGGATTGTTTCAGCCTGTAATGCCTGCCGAATGAGGCAATAGAGGGCAGCCAATCAGAACATATCTCAATAACATATATCACTATATGTATTACGACTGGTAAAAAAACAGACAAATGTCATAAGTGGACCTCAGATAGAAAACTTCAAAAAAACAAGAAAAATGTAGGATATGGCAACCATTTCAAAGGTTAAGAAGAGCTAAATGCCAACATGTTGCCTGACGTGCTAACATCAGCCTTCAACATGGACGGCATGTGTCCAGTAGATCTATCACACCAGCATCTGTTCCTTATAACATCTCATTTGTGTCCTCTCAACGGGCTCTTTAAAAGTCAGGATGCCAGTGTGGGCATGTTTGAATTACTACATGGCTGTTCTCTCCTTTCGAAATATTCTTTGAAGCTCATACTTTCTCCCTGCAAAGTAACAAGAACTTTTGTGGAGGCGTACCTACGTCTCCATCAGTGCATTCCTCAAGACCCCCTGAGTCATACGGTTATGCTTTTGATTACAATCGAGTCAACGCTGTCTAATATGACCATAAACAACTTCTTTTGCCGTGCCATAGCAAGAAACTGGCCTTGGCGCTATGCCTCTTCAATAGATCAAGGCATTCAGTAAGGCAGTACATCAAACGGCTGGTATTTCCACATTTTTTCCATCAGACTGAGTCTCACTAACATAATTTTAGCTGCTTGGCTAGCTTCATCATGCATTTCTTTCATTTTCAAAGGAAATCATGTTCTCTAATTAGAAACACCCAAGAAGGTCATGAAGAAGCTGCCACTGCTCGGGACGTCAGCAATTTCTCCAATTTTGGACCATTTGCTCAGAAAGTTTACAGATTTCTCTCAAAAGCAGCAAATCACAGGACGCCAAGATGCTCTTGCAGGAAGAAGCCTTAATTGCAGTGAAACACATTCTCAGTCTCCTGGGAGACAAGACATCGATCACAGCCAGACACACGCTCATGGGTTCTGATGGAGAAGGTCTCCAGCCTCATGGCTAATACCATCTAAGGAAAAGGACCTGACTTGGCATGACCGTGCTCCAGCTCCAAAGCTTTTCCACTGCAAGAAGCCTGGTTAATGTATGATAAACAGTACGCTAGAATGGAACACATTCAGGGACTAAACCTCAGAAAGGAATTTGGGATTTTTCTCTATTTTTTATTTTATTTATTTCATTATTTTTCTACTGCTTGGAAAACATCTGCAGGCGTCTCAGCACATACTTGATGGACTGACTCAAAGAAACGCTGGTTTCAGCTTTCTCTGACCTCACGATTGAGGAACGCGAAATGTGCCAGTTCTTCATCATCTCTGGTTAGGCTTTGCTCTGCAGGACACTTGTGCTATTCCCAACTCCACCAAAATGGCTCTGGAACATCGTTCATTGGATTGCTTTGGGTGTGCGCCTCAAATAGTGGCAAGCACTCCTATAGTTCCTTTATATTCAGCTGTACATAGCTGGAGAAGTTGTTAGTGAAAGCTAAAATATATCACCACTGTACTTAGAGTATACACATCCATTCTGATACAGTATGAAGAGCGTACATTTCTTTTTTTTCTGATTTCTTTAATCAAATATAATAATGGGCAAAAATCAGAGATCACCATCATTCAGGAGATGTTTCTGAGGAGATTAGATATAAAATAATTCACTTGCATAAGGAAGGGTCTGTCACCATCAGACAAACAGCACATAAAAGCTTTTATCTTTGAGAAAGAGGAACATCAAGCTCAGATCTGAAGGTGTTTCTGTCCATCCTTCCACTGTGAGAAGACAACTCAACATTATGAGTGTGGAAGAATGTAAAGAAGAAAGGTTTTATGAACTGATGAGTCTAAATTTGTAACTGGGATTACTTAAATCATGAAAAGCAGAGAATTCAACCAACTTCTAGGACTGAACTTTCAAGGTGTGGAAAAATATCCCTGCAGATTTCTTAGAAAAAACTGAAAGGAAAAGAATGGAAGTTGTTGAGATTTGCTTTCTGTTTTGCAAAGAAATCTGCAGGGAGATTTTTTCACACCTCCAAAGTTCAGTCTTAGAAGTTGGTTGGATATTCTGCTTCTCACAATCCAAATAATCCTAATGCATACTGAAAAGCATGGAAGCTGTAATAAAGACGAATGGTGAACACACTAAATACTGAAAACGCTGATGTTATGTTATTTTTAGTTATTAAAATTTCTGCGTAATTTCTTGCAAATATGTTTTCTGCTTTTCTTCCTGACCCTGAAAAATGAATAACTTTTATTTGTTGGACATTCAGACTGGTAATGGAATAAATGAAGGGTGGTCTCTGACTTTTGCACAGTACTGAATATCTTTATCTTTGATCTATAGCATGAAATACAGGTGTTAGCTTTAGAAGCAATGAGAGACCAAACGTTTCGTGAACAGTTCAGCTAGTTTGATCCTATAACCCTAAAACCAAGCATCCTGCACCTCACCCAGCCAAACTGTCTTGCACATACGTCACAAATAGAAATCATTCTAACTTCTTTTCCTCAAGAATATGCACATTTACCATCTGCTATTTCAGTCAACTTAGAGGTAATCCTGGTGCTGTTTGCTGTTCTGGACTTTGAGGGTCAGTTTCCTGGAGGAATGCTGATTGACCAGTGAAATTCATTTTTAGTCTAGAGTTTGGCTTAAAATAAGCTTTGTGCCTGTCAGGCTGCTCTAGTGTCTGTCCGCTTACTGCTGAGAGTAATCACTGCAGGCAGCGTTTCCCACCCTGGGTCCTGTCTCACTGTGGAAGCACAGGGCAGTGCCTCCACCCTGCGTCCAGCACCGGCCGAAACCCAGCACTCACTGCAGTGAATTACCTCCAGATTCTCCCTCAGCTGCACCGAAAATCTTCCACAAAAACCTCTCATCTGTCATCAGCCTCAGAGAACTCACAGCACTTCTCCTGTTGTTCCCCACTTTCCAACCACCAGTGTCATTCTGCACCAAATGAGTGAAACTATATTTACATAAAATGCATCTCTGCTCAGAAACAGAGCACAAGAGCACAAGAGCACAAGAAAAACAACAGAAAAGTATTAAAAGGCTCTCATGTGCAGCAACATCCTATGCCAAACTGTAAACTTTAGGACCCAGCACTCTGGTCAAGCTGGGCTGCACCTGCAAAGATCCAGCCACACCTTTACAGATGCTGCTCCTTTGCAAGCATTTTACATTTATAAATGACCTTACAGATGTAACAGCAGCCTAGGTTACCTAGGTTACCTCAACTAGTAGCCTGTTTACATGTTCTATTAACAGATATGACACCCGAATCGTTTGTGTCTGTAGTTTATTGTAGTTAATACACACTGTAGACATCTTTATACTCAGTCTGTCAGTGTTAGTGTAGAAACATCCAGCAAACAAGACATTAGGTAGAAATGATGTAGCCACACAAGTGGGTAGCAACAGTTGGGGGAGATCCAGTTCAGGGCTAAAAGTCATGCTGGTCAGTGCAGAGGGATGTGAATGACACTTACCTGAGAAACAGGTGGCCTGCGATGCCACGGTGGTCTGGAGAGTGAAAGTTTGGTGCCGCTTTCGGACCTCTCGCTAAATAAATCCGGCGGTTAGGCCCCGCCCCCTCATACATAATGCAGCAGTGCTTGGCTGCGTCTCCTCAAGGCGCTATTTTCCCCACCCGTCGTGACAAACCCCTCCCACTCATTCTTGTAATTCATTCTGCAGCCAGTCATAGCGCAGAAGGCGGGGCTTTGCCAGAATACGGGTGGGGAAAAAAGAGCTGCCTCGCTACGGTGTTGCCTGGCAACGGGAGACGCTGAGCGGGACCAGTCATTACTTTCAGTTCCTCAGTTCTTCATCAGTGCAGGGCAGCTCTGCGTCAACTAGTTTAAAGGGGAATTCCACCGAATTTTCAACATTTCTGCATAACTCAACAAAGTCATTCAGAGTGGTTTCATGTAAAACGCCCTATTCTAAAGAGCTTTTAGAACTGATTTAGAATTGTCCACAGTTGTGGTGATGGGAACCAGACACTTGAAGAGTTTAATGGCTCTAAAAGCTGAAAGTTATTATATGAAATGGTTATGAATGCACTGCCTGATGCTTGGGACATTGTTTTACGATAGTTTTGCAATAAGCTTTTGGCTTAAAACATATTACTGCTGTCGGAACAAAACCTTGTTTCCCCCTTTTTTTTGACGTTTTTCAGTTTTTCACATAATTTAAACATGCCTCTAGTCCTTTACATTGTTTGTACATTTCAAGATGAATGGACCAAAAGAAACAGCCCAAAATGTTTTGGAAAAAAGTCTGGTTCCATTGATTTACATTAAAAGTGAAATATGTTTTTTCCTTCTTCTCTAAAGTTGTCATTTTGGAGATACAAGGTTTTGTTCCGACAGCAGCGATATATTTTAATACGCACACTTGGTGGAGGGGTACTTGCCGGTCGTTCTAAGGCAAAATAGTCCCCAAAGAAACCTTTTTTTTTCCCCAGATTTATCACTGTTTTACAATTTTCAACATTACATATAACAACTTCAAAGACATGTGTAGGTTCACTGGTCATTTTGGATAATAAATATATTTGCTATATTTGTGTTATAGACAGGTGACCCCTGGTTCCCAAGACCACTGTAAAGACATCAGAGTCAAGTTTCTCTACTCTGAATGACTTCGTTTACATCTCACCCACTGAATTATGCAGAAATTTAAAAAATAATGGTGGAATTCCCCTTTAAGTTTTCCAGAAATATTAGCATATTATGAGAATAAACTACATTATTAGAGAATAATGAGAAAAGAGAGAGAGAACTACTCATGGACCCTCACAGAGCAGGTACTATTTGGGTGGTGGATCATTCTCAGCACTGCAGTAACACTGATGTGGTGGTGGTGTGTTAGTGTGTGTTGTGCTGGTACAAGTGGATCAGACACAGCAGTGCTGCTGGTGACAATGAGCGTAGAAACAAGGAGGTGGTCATAAGGTTAAGCCTGATCGGTGTATATTTAACCTGTGTATAATATGTGAGCATGTTGTTTGTGTGAAAACAACATCTGAAAGAAAAATAAGAAATAATAAACAGAAATGAACTAAACTGCCAGGAATTCTGGGTGACTCTGCCCCCGTATTCTCTCATTGCATGTCTTGTTGAGTCTGTTCTTCTCACTAAAATGAGAACACTTGAATTTTCAATCAGCCAGTATACACAACCTGCATGTTTAATTGCAATTAATAGCAAGAAAAGAAGTAAATTTAACTTGATAATTTAAGTACAAACATCAGGGCTTCCAGTGTAGAACTGCAGGGAAACTAGCACAGGAACCAAAGTCCGTTTTGGGATCCTTTAGGTCTAAAAGTTAATGACTGCAATTGAAATGATGGAACAACAGTATATTCTTCACAAATGTAAAGTACGTCAGGATAAGTGACGGTACTCTCTCTTAGAAATGCTCAAAAATCCATTAAAATTTCACTTAATTACATGGGGCTGTGTAAAACTAGGAACTACCCGTCTGGTGGCAGATGAGCATGTTTTTTGGTAGTGTGGGAAAAACATTCTGTGAGCTCCTCTGCTCCTTTCTACACATATCTTCTAAAATTACTGGATATGTATGAGCTCTTCTGCTTTTATCTTGTTTTGCACAAGGATTTGGAAGTTTCTGTCCCTGCAGCAGTGAATTTACGCCATCAGCTGGGTTGCGGCCTCGTTTGAACAGGCCACGTAATATCACCTTTGGGACATATTTGGTAAGGGAAAGAGAGCCCAGGCTGCTGAGATCTGCACTACATGTTTAAGGAAAGAAATGTCCATGTAAACACCAGCGCTGTGGTAAATGGTTTGGGCCATCAGCCAGCTTCTCTTTATTCAGGCTTGGGGTGGAAACACTCACAGCATCAGTCAAGCAGTAAAGAAATGCAGTGTGTAGCTATATATTTTGCAGGAATCCAGAACATACATGGGTAAAGGTTCAGGAGCCAAGTTTCCGCATGGAGTTGTTAAGTAATTTAAAATAGTCCTGCTGATCTGGTTTCTGACACTGTATGACGTACTATTATCTATAAAAACGGACAAACGTAGGAATGAAATTCAGGCTTCGAGAAATTCTCTACTATTGGTTTTAGCTATGTGACCTTTCGCACTGCAAATAATGATCTTTGCAAGTAAAATCATCTTCAGTCCAGTCAGTACAAACCAATATTTTTCATTTTGAGATTGGGGTAAGAATAACACAAGATATTTAACTAATTTCTAAATATTTATTTGCTTAAATAATTTTATTAGAGAAACTGTCAATTAGAGAAACTGACTAATAGAGAAATTGTGTTATTCAACTGGCTGATATTTTTAAGCATTAGTTTTTGAAAAAAACAAAATTCTCTTCATTGTGTCTTGAATGTAGCAAAATGATCTGCCAAGTAAAAACAGAAATAAGTTGAATAATATTATAATATTCTTACAGTCTCATAATGAGAAATATTAAGCATATTGACTAGAATTAAAATGTTTACACTCACCGAGATATTTGTTTTTACAGTATGTTAATTTTCTTATTTCAGTATGTCATACAGTTTCAGAAACCTCATAAACGGAAGTACCTAAGCTTCCATTACTTAGCTACATTAGCCTCATAGCTCCAGTGCAAAACTAAAGAAGTAAACTAAAAGAACCGAACATCAACCATGTCTTGGCTGATCAACTTGAGCAAGAAGGAAATTATGTATATTGGATTTTTGGCCAAACTATCACTTTAAAGGGCCCCTATCCTACAGTTTTTGTACTTTACATTTTTCCCCCTGAGGTCCACTTATGATGCATGTGTGAGTTTGTATACCAAAAACAATCATAATTCAGTTTTACATGATCATTTTCCAACCTCACTTTATCCCCTAGAATTAAACAGGCTGCTTTTAAGACTGATATATGTAAATGAACTCTGTTCTGACTGGCTGAAGCACTTTATAATTTCAGCGTAAATGGTTGGGGCAAAATGCATGTTGGGAGACGTATGAGATTATGTGTTTTTTATGACAAAAACAATTCAGTCTAAACGAGCTGTTTTTTTTGGAGCCAGTTCATATATTGACTGAATGGACTGGAGAGTGAACAGTACATTTTGTGTTGTTTAGATAACACATCAAACTCTTTTAACTGAACAAAGTGAGGAAAACCTGGTTTTGTGTGATATAGGCTCTTTAATTATGACATTTCAGAGCTCAGTACCGGCCTGTCATAAACAGTAAAGCGCAAGCATTCACATGATAATAAGATGCCTTTCTTTTTCCAGATTTTCAGGGCTCTTTGGGGCACTTTCTGAGCCAAAAGCACCAGATCTTCAAATGGATTCATGCAAGATCTTTTTCCTTTACTTTCTCTGTATGTTTTTACACTGATCAATGACCACACCCTTACAAAACAGCTGGCATATCAATGTCTTACAACACCATCCATAACAAATGTTTTTCATTTCAGGTTTGTCATGAGATAAGGGTCTTCATCTCTCTCTCTCTCTCTCTGTCTTACCCTCCCCAAGTGATTTTAGTGCATTTGTATTGGTGCATTCATCAGGAAATTTTGGAGATTAATTTAGCCTGACATGACAAATCTAAGTCAAGGTGTCATATGGTGCATTAACATACTGCTAATTACCTCTTCCTTGTGACATAAAGTCTTCTGTGAAAACATCAAATTCTCTTTCCAGTACATTTCTGTCTAGAAGACACTGCAGCTGACCTGAATGTTAGCGCAGAGCAGCACCTCCTTCTGGTAAATGTTTCTGAGGTTCTCAGAATAATGATTTTCATGCAGTCACGTCCCCAAAAAACACTTTGTACAACTAGAGCCAGTAGTTTTATTGCACTTTATATCTGCGTTTTACAGTCCAGAAATGAAAAAGAGCAGATTGAAGGGAATCCTCTCCTTTTTAAACAAGCCGAGACCCTTGTTTAGACCCTGCGGAAGCACATGAGCTTACAACCATAACTCATTATAGCATTAAATTAAACTGCATCACCAAACAAATGTTTACGCTGCAGCAATAAAGATGACCTTTGCACATTACCATTAAATAAGTCATAAATAACAGCAGCGGTTCTATAACATAACATAACATAACATAACATATAATGAAGTACAAATACAAGCATGGACACAGACTAAAATTCACAATAAATACAGTACAGTATCAAACGCACAGTGGCAAAATACAAACACAGGACACAGTGAACACAGAAGCCTTTCAGACTTAAAAACCCTGATCCATCCAGTAAAAATCATGCATGAAAACCAGGCCATTACGTACAAGTTATTCATTTTTCAGCATCAGGAAAAAAAAGCAGAAAACATCAAGTCCAAAGAACTGAGACCACATTGAAAATCTGGTATTTTTTCATTTAAATCTGCAAATAAACAACAGAAGTTTCCGAAGACTGAAAAATGTAAAACTAAGATAAGGTGTAACAATTAAAATGAGGAAGTAATATTCAGGATTCTGCACTACTTATAGATCACTATTCAAACTGAAGCAATCATGTGAAATTGACCATGTTAAGACCTTTGTAAAAAGGATAGACATTCCTTTTAACTTTATTCCATTGAAGCTCGTGTTCAGACGATTCTCAGGTGCATTTGATCCACTCATCAAAGACTTCTGCACAAACTTGAGGAGTCCCTGCCAGCTCAAGCACAGGCTGTCATTAAAGCAAAAGTAGGACATACCAAATACTAAAAAACTCATTCATTGCATGAGATTCATGTAAACCAGGGGTGTCCAATCTTGTCTGCAAAGAGCCAGTGTGGCTGCAGGTTTTCACTCTAAACAAGCTGAAGCACACCTGACTCCACTTGTTTAATCAGTTGGTCTCAGTCTTCAAACATTTCATCAGGTGACCTCCTGCTTTGTTGGAGTGAAAACCTGCAGCCACGGTGGGTCTCTGCGGATAAGGCTGGACACCCCTGATGTAAACACTCAAAAATTCTACTTAACACTCATATTGTTAAGATGATAGTGTAATTTATAAGCTTTTTCACCAGTGGTCTCAGACTTTTGGACCCCACATCAGCTGTTGAGGCTGCTTTGTAACTTGTACTTAATGGCTGTTTTGACTGGAAATTCAATAAACAGGTGGTCTCTTGCACAGCACTGTGTGTACTGTTTGCTTACAGGCTGAATCACATATGAGCGCTGGGCTTCTGACCCACCAACTTCATGCCATTGGACTTTTAAAGTACATCATTCATCAGAGTTTCTAACACACCACAAAAGTCCATTTAGCAGAAATGAGACTTATCACAAGAATTTTGTATTGAAAAAATAAATAAATAAGTTACTAGGTGTGTAACGATGTGTAATTTTTCAAATGCTAGCTAATATTTAAGGTGCAAAAACAAACCTAATACTTAGGATGAAGTGACGTTCACAGCACAGAGCTTACCTAACTAAAAAAAAAAAACAAGCAAATCTGAACGCTTCTTTGTCTTACTCGATCAAAATATGGCAGCAGAGTATGTTTCCATCCAAAATAACTCTAGGCCTATGAGTACAGGTCGATATATGAGAATAGGCTCACTGGTGAAGTCATGTTAGGAATAGACTGTCCCCGCTGGTAGTCATGTTGAGGTACATTTTGTTTTTAAGTGCATAAACTGTTAAAATCCTGCAAATATATTGAAGCAGCTGGTAATGCCTTCTACTAAAACATCATTTTGTTAAAACTAATAGATGCTCCCTTTTAAGACAAAGGTACCACTGGTCTTCTATATTCAAAGACAAATTTAGCAAATAATAATAAAGCTGCAAGCATACTTCACTACAGAGCAATTATTACAGCTATATATCAGCCTAAAGTAATTCTCATACGCCGAGGCCTTTTACCAATACAAAAATATATGCCTATCCTTTCAGTAATCAGTGGCTGTCACCCTGTCCAAGCAGGACAAGTCTGTGTAAGCCTATTTTTAATTTCTGCCAGATTCTGAACTCATTTTTATACCAGTAACTATGCCAGTTTGACCACAAAATGTGCACAGTGTAACTACATACTGTTTTCAGTGCATCATGAACAAGATACCTCCTACAAGTGCCACCTCTGTCAACCTTATAATCAATAAACAGACTCGTCAAGAGCAAATCACTCCTAATAAAACCAGTATTTAGTTCACTGAATTAGCTTTTCCTTGATCTTCCACCTTTTTGATAGCTGCCTGAATTTTGGCTTGGTCACCCAGGAGCTCTCGAGGTTTGACAGGCCGAAGATCTTCATCCAACTCCAGCAGAACTGGTATCCCGGTGGGAAGAGTGACACTGACTATTTCGGTATCAGATATTCCTGTTAAGAAAGAATGAATGGCTTATTACAAAGGCATAAAAATACTAGACACTGCCATTTATTATTTTTTTATTTGCCTATCACTCAGTTAGCCAGCTTTACCCTTTTCAGTTGACAGAATTGTGGAATGTAGAGCAAATGGGTTGAAAGTCAAGCTAATAAACCTATAGGCAATTTAGATATTCCAGGTTTTGACATAACCAGTTAGATAACAGCAGAGGAGATTGATGACCGGTGTTTATTATATGCTTATGAAAGGTCAACAGAGCAATGACCCAGAGCCCTAGGCAACTTGATATCTGTGGCCTTTAGATCTATTCCTTGGTTTCAATACTGTTCTTAACATGTCCTTGTTGACTTCACTGCAGAACTTCGAAGTGGCCACTTGTTGCAGGGCAAATGAAAAGGGGATAACAAGAGTGCACTTTTCACTTCACTTCGAGGGCAAAGAATACTTACCCTTAATTGTATTTTTTGAAAAGTGAATACAACTTTGAAAGAGGTCTTTAAAAGGAATTGCAGGTCTGTATTCTTCTTTGTCTTCCCATAATAAAACATGATGACTACTCAAAAAGTGATTTCAGCATTCAAATACTGGCACCTCAGAAGGTTCACAGAGTATGTATTATGTACACAATCTTTGTAAATAAGTGCTTTGTCTGGCTTAAGCTTGAGGGGTACAAGCATAGTGCATTACCATAATTTGCTAGCTATGTAGACCTTATTTTGCAAACTAGCAAGCTAGCAAAGTAACAAAGCTGCATCAGCCTTCATGTATAACACATGGAGTAGTTTGTTACATAAACCCCAGTTTGAACATAGCAACTCAAATTTGAATAGACAATTGCAAGTTTGCTATTATTTGTGGGCAGATTTTGTCACATTTGTGTTTATTCAATCCTCCACCCTTCCAGTGAGCTAATATAGCAACGCAACAGCCCTTAAGATGGTGTCAAACATTCCCCCAAGGGGGGCTGGCAAGGCCGAGGGCATCAAATGATTCTGAGGTTTCTTCCTATATTAGATGTTAATTATCAAAATAAATGGGCAAAGCTGTCCTGTTAATAGAACACTAGTCTCTGTGTATGTAAATCCAAATTCATCAGACTGTCAGATTGAAAATGTTTGCTGTAAATTTTAAGTGAGAAATAAAAATGTGCTCATTGTTTACCTTCTAGATGTTTCAGCAAAGCTCTGCAGCTGTTTCCATGAGCTGAAATAAGGACTGTTTGGCCACTCTTGATTTCAGGAACAATTACGTCATTCCAATAAGGCAAGAGTCTTTCTAGCACTTCCTTCAGGCTCTCAGTTTTGGGCAGCTTCTCTTTGGGCACATCACATGTGTTATACCTGCGGTCATTGTAGATTTCTGCAAAATAAGGATGTGATTCATCAATGGGGGGCGGAGTGATGTCATAACTCCGCCTCCACAGCTTAACCTTCTCCTCGCCGTGCTTCTGGGCCATCTCGGCCCGGTTCAGGCCAATCAGAGCCCCATAATGACGCTCGTTCAGCCTCCATGACTTGGTGACAGGGACCCACTCCTGGCCCATGGCCTCCAGCACAAGCCAGGCCGTCTGAACGGAGCGGCTGAGAATCGAAGTGAAAACATGATCAAACTTGTAGCCGTGCTCCTTCAGCAACCGGCCACACTCCTGAGCCTCCACAACACCATTCTCACTCAGCTTCTGGTCTACCCAGCTGCAGAAGCGGTTCTCTTTGTTCCATGCCCCCTCACCGTGCCGCAGCAAGAAGAGCTTGTGCTTCGACATTAAGGAGCAGTGTGAAGGCCTGAAAGATAAAGAGGCACTAAGATGAAAATGTAAAACATGTTCCTAAATAGGAAACAACACTGCCATGTCCTATTTAGGTTTGTTAAAATCTGAAGGTAGTGATTCAACTGCATGGATTTTGGAATGTTTAAGATCAACAACAATCTATTATAATGACATTCAATAAAATATGCACTCATATTTTAGCGTGACTCTGTCCTGCCCAGTGCACTGTATCAACTAGAACCTCATCCATCAACAGCCTGGGGCCCACTGGTTGCAGTGTAGCTTTCATGGTTGCTAGCACATCAAATCCCAGAATGCAAGCATCACCCACCTCCACTACATAGAACCAGTGGTGTAAAATTCTCCCCTCAACCTTGAGTGTCTCCTGTTGCTTGCCATCCATCCATAGTCCATCCCCATTACAGTCTCCATTCTCACCTTTGTTGGCTGCCATGACTGCTTGCATGGAAGAACCTCTGGTTTGATTATGCTGATTGTGGAGCTGGTATCATCTAGGGCCATCCACTTGGCATGACATCTTAAGCTGTCTGATACGCCCGTTGCCTAAACTACTGCCATTTTCCCAGGGTCTGGGTGCCCCAGTGACTTACAAACATGGCATGCTCCCCCTGAAAGTGCCCTGACTGCCTCTTTTCCCTCACGCTACTCATCACTGTTGTCCGCCCCAGCTGCTGTACAAACCTGGCTGTAGCCTGTATGTTCTCTCAAAACCGCCTCCATCTCTTCCGCCCACTGTAAAGCCTCTCCTGGGTGAGTGGGCTTTTAAGCCGCAACTGTTGCTGAAGTCTTACTGGCCTTCCCACCTGTAGGAACGCATTCAGAGCCAAGCTATCACAAGCCACTGCTGCAAACTTACCACAGGCAAGCCAAACCATATTCTCTATGTCGGCAGCAAGTGGCACCACCTTCTCTTCATGCTGGTGTTCTCTCTGATGGAGATTCTCTCTAATGTGCATGGGCCACACTTGCTCATCAAAGCTCCTCCCCAGACTGGCTGTGAGGTTGTACCAAGTTCCTGTAACGTCAGCAGGGAGATCTAACAGTACCTGCAGGGCTGGCCCTTCTAGCACCGAGGCTAACTGCACCACTTTCACTTGCCACCCCCCACCTCGCTGGTGCGGCAACCATCTTAAAGTGGCAACTCCCCACACCATCATAAAACTTTATCTTAGGTGAATTCATTGGAGTTGTGGGGGTGGCTACAACTTTGTTTGCAGGGTAATGTCAGGGTCTGGCAGCAGCAACAGGCAAAAATGTTGTGGAGAACATAAGTTCAACACCTAACCGCCCTATCGACCACTGCAGGTTGGCTATTTCCTCAGCTAATCTGTGTGTGGGAGCGGGATGCCGCACTTCTCCATCCAGCATGCCACAAATCTTCTACTATGGCCCATCCCCTAGTCCCCCATGCTTCGTGCCATCTTGATACTTTTGCCGTCTTCAGGAGAGTGTACTCTTTCCCGAGAGTTCTTTGCAGTGTCTTCTCATTCTCCGCCAACTTCACCTCCCTCTGCTGCTTCAGAGCCCTCCTGGCACTCCTTACCTGGCGCCCCCACAGATCCTTGGGCCTCCAGTGTGTTTGCTGCAGCTTCTGATGCCAAATGTCACACCACTGTAGCATGCGGGATACACAAAAAGCGAGTTCATGCCCATAATACAGCTTTTTTTTAAGTAGAAGAGAAGAAAATTGATTTTACTGCCAAGAGAAAAATATGTTTTTTAAACCTCTACCACAGCCGTGCCCAGCCACAGAATCCTGCCTGGGGTTATGAATCGGTAAACAAACCTGGGTGATGGTAACTCACACTCCCAACACCCAGTACATACCCAACATGCTCAACAGTATGCATAACCTAATAAACATGCATACTGAATATGCAAATGAAAACTTTTAATTACTGTATCACAGCACATATCAACGTTTTAAGCATTTAAGAGCAACTATTAGCTAGATTTCATAATGGGTTCTGAAAAGTAGGGGAACACTTCCACCCATAATGTTGGTGAAAGTGGTTGTCATAAAAGAACTTAGTGACTCACTGCAAGGCATTGCAACATCTCTGTTTCAGTGTACACTTACACTTCCCCAACACTCTGCGGTAAGACCCTGGACAAATTTACATTGCAGTATGTTCTCGTGGCTCCCTTGGGGACCCCCTGTCCTGCCCACCTTTAGTTCTCAGGCCTATTCGTTGTGAGCATACTTATATTTTCAAATGAGAAATGCATTAAATGCAAAAGGGAACGAATGCACAATAAACATGTATAATAATTTATATCGATGGCTGTAACAGGAGCTTAAGAGCAGATCGTAGGCAAAAAGGTTAGAGGTCAAGAATTAAATGTCAGGGGGCTAGCTAGCCTGTAGCAGCAGACTGACCAACACTGTAAGCTCTGCAACAAATACACATGAAAATACACCAATGAAGCCTGAGAACCGAACGGAATGACAACGAAAGTAATGCAGTAAAGACACATCTTCATTTATCTCACCACAAGCTCAGAAACGCTGCGTTCAGAAAAGCATTCACTGCTTCCTTGCTAGCTAACAACGCCCAAGCAACGTTGGTCAGACGTATATAAGCCAAAAACACGCGAACATTCTTTTGTATAGTTTATGAACGCTAAAAGAGTCGAATAACTCGTTAAAGACTCACCTCAGCAACAAAACTGACAATTACCTAGCCCGTTCTCCACCATATACGGCTGAGAGAGGAACCACTATCAACACAACCTCTCCTACGAATGACGTATTCTTCCAGCCAATAGGAAGCCGAAATGACCACACGGAGGCGGGACCATCAGCCCCCGTCGCCCAATAATAGACATTAGGAAAGCTCTGACGTAATAGCAGTGTACGGGCGTTGAGCCGTGTATTCTTCCTAAGCTGCAGTGCGTTTCGAAGCATCTTCAAGAAAATAGTTTTCTCTTTATTAGGCTGTTAAGACAAACATGTATCACATACAGGCGATATAGTACCATTTTTTATACACAATTATACAATTTAAAGTATAATAATTATGTCTAAATATGTTCCATTTTATGGCCCAAAAATATATTCTGTACATTTTCCACCGATATCTGACCATTTTAGCCTAACAGAATTATTACATTGGTGAGACAAGCAGGTTGAAATTTCCCCTATTGTTAGGATGCTGTGCCCCCAAACATCTTCTTCCTGCCTTCCATGCCAGACATGGCATCCACATTCTTCCTCCAATCAGTCACCTCCTCCCTCTGTGGAAAGGTAAAGGGTTTTAATATGCATTTAGCCCAATAGACTGCAGGCTTATTACACAGTTATTATTCTTAAGGCGTTACTGTTAATTCTTCAGTAACTACTGTGAAACTAATGTGTAATGAGAGTGAGGAACTGGAACATGGGCTTACAAGCAGGCCCTTAAGGTTTAAGGCAGGCTGTTAGGCTGGTGTTTAGCTCAGTGTGGTACTTTTCCTGCTCTAAAACAACTAAGCAGAGAAAAAACGACTGAGCGTGGACATTACTGTGCTGTGCTGGACACTGGCCTTCCAAGACTGTAGCCCAACACCCTTGGTTTAAGGGGTTAGCTTGGCTCAAGCACTTACAAGCTTAAGCACTTTAGCTTCAGACCCACCATCAGTACTCTGGAAGAGTGTAATATTTTAACCCCTTGAACTTTGGTTTTGATATTCAGTTATTAAACATCTCTTAAACTTATTATACTAATATGTAAGCTATGTAGTTACGAGAGTGATTTAACTGCTCCATAAGCTCATTCTAATTTGCACTACTGTTTATATTTGCACTATTTATACCCACAGACCTTAATCTGTATGTGCCTTATGTCACTTTAGTGTTAATTTTAGGACCTTCTTATATTTATATCATTTATATATTTTTTTCTTTTTATTATTCTATTTTTCTACAATTAGTGTTTATTTTGTTTATGATTAGTGTTTAGTGTTCACAACATGGGGTCTGAGAGTAACGCAATTTCAATATTCTGTCTGTACATATTGTAGTATTGACAATAAAAGCTGACTTGACTTGACTTGACTAAAGTTCAGATGGAGATTTTGGCCTGTTGTACAGCCAACTATGTTAGTGTACACAAGAACATCATGTCATTTCCATAATTTTTTAAGAGCTGGATGCCCCTGACATTGAATTAAACTCTTGTAAATAAGAAGAACACTTACTCTCCACCCAAAATACACCAATCAGCCATAACATTAAAAATCCTTGTATCTACACTCATTGTCCATGTTATCCGCTCGACTTACAATATATGTGCACTTTGTAGTTCGACAATTACAGACTGTAGTCCAATTGTTGCTCTGAATACTTTGTTAGCCTCCTTTCACCCTGTTCTTTAATGGTCAGGACCCCCACAGAACAGGCATTATTTGGGTGGTGGATCATTCTCAGCACTGCAGTAACACTGACGTGGTGGTGGTGTGTTAGTGTGTGTTGCACTGGTACGAGTGGATCAGACACAGCAGTGCTGCTGGAGTTTTTAAACACTGTTAAAACCCCTGCTCTGTGGTGGTCCTATGGGGGTCCTGACCACTGAAGAATAGGGTTCTTCAGTGGGCTGACAAAGTATGCTGAGCAACAGATGGACTACAGTCTGCAATTGTAGAACTACAGAGCACACCTCTATGGTGAGTGGAGCTGATATAATGGACAATGAGTAGATACAAGGAGGTGGTTTTAATGTTACAGCTTTCAAAGCTATTAAGCAATTAAGTTACAGTGAAGACTTTTAAGATTTTTTTATGAACCTCTTTGTAATGAACTTTACCTTCTCTTCCTCTTTCTTGACTATCTTAAGGTTGGCCTTAAAGTCAATGGATTCCTTGTGTTTAGACCCAAGCAGAGCCCCAAGCATGGCATCCGCAGACACCCGGACCCTCTTCAAAACAGGTCACTTCATTTTACCCTTCAGTTCATAGATTTTGTGGTTCAAATCTGCAATCTGAAACAAATCAATGAATAAGGTCTCCAATTTACTGTCTGAGTCTGATCATTAGCAACTCTGCTAAAGGCATTCAAGCAACCATTAGAAGGTGGTTATTTAACTGTATAATGTAAACCACCAAGTCATTTTGCAAGGTGTATTGTGTAGACAGCATGCTGTGGTATGTGTATTAGGAGCTCACCTCTTTTTCATTTTTACCAACTTTAGCTGCAATGTCGTAGCGCTCTTCATCAACAACATCGATTTTCTGATGCAGTTCTCTGCACAGGTTCTGTGAAAACATGCGACCAAAAGTGTGCTGTTAATTATATAAAGGTACCTGTAAGTCTTGCACAGATAACCCAGCTAGCTTGAGAAGGGGCACTCGTTCATTGAGGGTGTTCTCTCTCTCAGCCTTTTTCTGTGTCTTCTCTTCTTCTAGCAAAATGTCAGCCTTCTTCATTATTTTAGTCTGTAAAATTATTATAAAAAAATATTGGCAATGATGCATTAAATGTTCCAAACAATTGAGGAATTGAGGTTTATTGTAACCACCATCACCACACTGTAATGCACCAAATGTATAAACGTACTAAAGTCAGATTAATAAGACGCTTCTAATCACAGGTGGAATTAACAGTTGACTTGAGAAATGATGACAATAATAGCATAATAATAATGACATCAATGGCATAATACTAACCTTTAGGAACAACCGTCGAGATGCTGAAATCTTCGGCTTTGTTTTTTTCTGTGAAGAGCAACAGGTTCAGAAAGGACATTCTTAAAATAATCACTTGATGATGTACATTTGTGATGTATTTACTTATCTGTAGTTCAGGATGAAGCTGCTGTATATCAGTGTCTAGTGGAGCTGTGTCTCAATACCTAGTGAGCTTTTTTACATAAGCACTAGCACAAACCAACAAATGTGCACCTCGGACATAAAGGCGGTCTCAGTTATTGTGTACCTTAAATATGTTGCCTCCTAAGCTGTCTTGTTTTGGCAGTATTTTAAAGCACCATCATATGTACCCTTGATTACAGACTATATGACAAAGGCAGTTTATCTGTGAAAGGATATTTCTAATCAATAAAACAGACACAATGAGAAAGCTATCTTCAAATAAAAGTTTTATTAACCAAGATACTTGTTTATACATCATCAAGTGTATGAACACCCTGCTAGCAAAACTCGCATGATTACCAGCAAAACCAGAAAAGAAAAACAGAGTATCTCCAAAATTGTAACTTTACAGGAGAAGGCAATAAGGTAAAGTTACTTTTAAAGTAAGTTAATGTAAAGTTTTTATTCCAAGCAATTTTGGATCATTTTTGTTGGGCTGTTCATCATGAAATATAGCTGATGTGCTCAGATTAAGTAGAAAAATAAAATAAAAAAATGGAGATACTTGGTTATTTTTTTAGACATGCGGGTATGCTGGTCAACCAGCATGACCACGCTGGGTGGCCAGCTAAACCAGCACCAGACTAGCACCAGACCAGCTTAGCTCAGCACAGATTGCTGCCTGCGCTGTTATTTTAAGCAGGGCATCATGTGACTTCATTTTATTGCTTCAGGCTAAACGATCTCAACATGATTAGCTAGCTGATCATCATGCCAGCATGGACAGTTAGATGTAACTATGAGAATTCTTTGGGCTTATCCTTAGCTAGCTAGCTATTTAGCCTTTACACAAACATAGGCTTCACATAAAACTTTGTCAAACTCTTTGGTGTTAGATCTTGACAACAGAGGTGAACCACAGCCAGTGCAGTGGGTGGGAGCCACTGGTAATCAACTGCTCTCTAACAGGTTTCTCAGTATGCTATATGTGAAGTTTGGTTGAAATACTAGGCAGGTGGGAAAGCAAGGGGGCTCACTAGATATGGAGACATATCCAAAGTGTCAAGTATAAGTAGGCTTAAATAATATTAAGTAAACTTACTTTGTTTTTTACTTTGTTATTTTGAGTTTAGGATTATTATCACTCACCTTTCTACAGCCATTTGAAGTAAAAGGGCATAAATACAACATGTAAATAGAAGATGAACATCTCAAATTAAAGCTATGTAGCACAAAAAGGCAATATAAAATACTCTAACACCTTGTTTGGAAATACTTACTCAGACTCAGACATGATTAATTATTTTTCTGGTTGCTAGAAACAGAGAAAAATTTCTAATGTAATATTTTTAATAATATTTTATTGCCATTATGTATTAATCACTTCCATTAGATGAGTCACTTTGTTTACATTCTGTAACTGTGATTCAATTTGTGAAACATTCTACAAAATATCTATGGGACCAAATTCACAAAATATAACTTTAGCTTACTGTTAGTTTACTAAATAATGCAAACGTTTGTGCAAAACTTATTTTCAGTTAGAAAAGCAACAAAATATGTAAATTGACCAGAGGTACTCAAACTTTTGCATATGACTCTGTATCTATGACAATATCACTATTTTAAGGTATTGTTCCTTAGATATTAAATCTTACCTTTCAGAGGAGGACAATATGACTTCAGAGTGGTCAGCAAAGAAACTCTACATATTTATAGATGTGGATGCTCATGTGAGTGGCTCACTAAAATAGCCCCCTGTCCTCACCTTTCTTGCTCAGAAGGTGTTTTATACTTTGTCTCTGAATGTTCCTGCTGTGTGACAGATTGAAGGTTCACTGGAGGAAGGGTTAGCAAGCCATTATCTGAACACAGCTAAGTGAGCTCAGCCTCACAGTTCCAGTATGTCAGAAAACATTTTTAAAAATCTGAAAAATAAATCAATGCAGGAAATGAATAGCCATGAAATAATAAATAATGTCTTATTAAGCTATAAAATATAGTTATAGTTAATAGTAAGCAACTGCTTCAGCCTGTCATGTTGTTGTAGGCCACCACCATCAGCTGAGAGAGGAACTGAGAGAATGTCCTGAGAGACGTCTAGATCCATGAAGACTTTTAGTGTAGGATGCTATGGCTTTCAGTGACACACACAGCAAACAAAAACTGCATGTAGGGGAAAGAGGGACACAATGTAATTTGGTGTAATATGTAACATGGATATTTAATGTACTCAAACAGGTTCTAGTAAAACATGTTTTTTGGTCACGCTCTCTTATTCACATAGCAACGTCACCTGCTAATCTTCATAGTAATCAGACAGATATTTCACATGATTCAACCTAAAGACTCTTTTTGAATGATGAAAGTAGCTGCTTTTGATTTCTGAGTTGTCTGGTTAAGTCACAGAATTCGCACCTGTACTGTTTTAGTTATTCTCTTGTAACTGTTGTAACTGCAACTTAGCTAAAGTACAGCCTCCACACGGCGGAGGTAGTTTCAACATGCTGTAACAGCAAAGCTCCCCAATAAACAAAAGGCCTCTTTCACCAACTGTTCTTAAGAAAAAAAAATCTTAAAACCCACTAACACAGTTTTATGAAGATTCTGACATTCACTGATGTAGACTTTTTCTTAGGACCTTTCTCAAGAACCATGTAGCCCCATATAAATGCAAAACAGATCAATCAAAAACATACTACAGGTATCATTTAAATACAATATATTTCAACATTATCATATTTGCTCTTCTACTTACCAGTCAAAAATTTGCCACGTAAGACAAAAAGCTTTTGTCCACTAATGATGTTTATTTACTTTTGTTTATTTAGGTTGAAAGGCTTTGGGGTAAGTTTACATTCACTCTGCTTTCAGCATAAACATTAGGCACTGGAAACAAAGTGATAAATCTTTCTCAAATACTTGTAATTAATTAATTATTTATTAATTATTTAGCAAAAACAAAATATATTAGGTCCTATGTGTCAAACACAAGGCCCAGACACAATCCAATATGGCCCGCAAAAGTATTTTAATTTTCTGTTAATATCAGCCCATTTCACAATGCACTGCACTACAATCCCGAGCATGCACTGCAACAGCAGTCTATGGGACAGCAGTTACACCTCAATTTTACCCAGTTCTACACAATCCACATCAGTCCTATCACTAAACACACTAGCTGCATTTCAGCTGCAGTCCAACCAATATACTATATTATATACATTACATACAATATACACTTAACATTTGCTCAGCAGCTTAGAAATTGCATTACTGAAAGGATGCCAGGTATCTAATTCAGTGTGAAGTTTGAATATTTCAAGTATTCATGTAATATTTCAAGGTCTACTACAGGTGTCCATATTTTACTGCTAAAGTTATTGCATATTTTGATTAAACAATGGTCAGCTCAGGTTATAGCAATAAAAACATTGCTGTTCTCTGACCCACAGATTTGTTGAGATTTTTTAATAAGGCCCTTTTAGTGGTTTGACAACCCTGTATTAGGCTGCGTCTCATTCTCCTCTACTACTATAATCTGTTATATCACTAAGCCTGATTTCAAGGCAGAATTGAACAACATCAGTCTCTTGTAGTGCTCAGTGTGGAAAATGTCAAAACAATGCCTTAGGAAGTAGAAAAAAGAATACAACAATAGAAGATATCATTCAGTTCCCTTCAAGTGTCCATTTTTCATGAAGATGTTTTCAACGTTCTTCTTCCATCTCTCTTGTTCTCTGCAGCAGCCAGTGGTCAGATACAGGCTCATACAGAGTTCATCAGTGACCTGAAAGGAGTATAGATTAAAAGACATTGTCTACAGTTTACAGTGAACGAACGCCAAACTTTAAGGACCTGTATATGGACCTCAGTTATTAGTTTCATAGATGACAAAATAACAAGGCTTAAGACTGATGACTGAATAAAGCCTGGCTCTAGAAAAATACACCACATCACTGCTGATCCTTCAGTTCTTAAAGGTGCAATGTATAAGATTTGGGGGGATCTATTAGCAGAATGGGATACAGTATACAAAACGATGTTTTCATTAATGTATGATCACCTGTAACTACAAATCATTGTGTTCTCGTTAGCTTAGAATGAGCTTTTCATATCTACATAGGTAGCGGGTCCTCTTCCAATAGATACTGGAATGTTGCATCGCTATGTTTCTATAGTAGCCCAGAACGGACACCAAACACTGGCTCTGCAGACTACCTTTTACATTTTTATGGTAAAGCAGCAGCTCGAATTTGGTGATGCCATAGCACTGGTTGAAATATGTAGAAAGTAGAAGAATCAATGGTTTCTTCCACAAATTTTGACAAATGTAGGATCATGCTTATTATTTAGCACAAGAAAAAGCAAGGGAGGGTGAGTCCTCATCATTAAAGAAGCGGAAACATGATGGACACTATAGGTTCTACTATACGCTTGGAAAGGGAGGGGTGAGGGAGGGGTTTTCAGTTGGTTGCAATGTGCAACCTCACCGCAAGATGCCACTAAATCTTACACACTGCCCATTTAATCTCTTAAAATCCCAGACTTATTACATACTAAGGCTCATTATTCAGTAACTACAGGGACTTCAATGCAAACTGGCCAAACTATCCCAAGGTTATAGAAGTGTGTAATAAAACTTTGCCAGTGGGCCCTGGCCATGTAAAGCCTTAAGCTTTATGCGTTATTTATTTATCTTAATTCATGTTTATTACCATTTATTGTCCACCAGCATCGAACAGCTTTTTCCTGCCCTCCATGCCAGACATGGCCTCCACGTTCTTACGCCAGTCAGTCACCTCTTCTTTCTGTGGAGGTCAGAGTGATACAGGTCATCTCAGACAGGAGACTCAGACTGTTTCTGACTATTGCTGTTTTGCGGTTGTTGTGTGGTTGCGTCCTGGGGATTTGGAATCCTCTCTGGTGGATTTGGTGGATTGAATTGCATGCAATGTGGGGAAGAGCAGTTTTGTAATGTGGGTTGTGCTTCGGACCCCCTCCCCGAGTGGATGAATCTGATGATTGCTAGTGTGTTGTGCTGAATAATGTTTAATTTTGCATTTGAGACCCAAACTTTTAAAAATTTTTAAATAATCATTTCAATATTTACCAGGTGACTCAGCAGTGCACACACACACACACACACACCTTATTTTAGGGCATTTTTTTCTCCTGACAGCTTTAACCAACAACAACCCTATGGCTTACCTTCTCTTCCTCTTTCTTCACTGTCTTCAGATTGGCCTTGAAGTCAAAGGACTCCTTGTGCCTGGAGCCCAGAAGGACACTGAGCATAGCCTCAGCTGAAATCCTCACTCTCTTTAGCGCAGGCCTTTTCAGCTTGCTCTTCACCTCAAAGATCTTCTGGCTCATGTCCTCTATCTGTCCCAGCAAACAGCCCACATTCTGCCTGTGAACTTTTATAATAACCGATGCTCTTTTCTAGTGTTGTGTTTTACACAGGAGTAATTACAGTAATTATACGTAGTTTAATTACTGTGTTTACAGTGTTTAACACAAACTTTATGTCAGGTAATGGTAATACTGCCACACACTCATTAAACACATGCTTACAACTCCACTGCGATTATGTGGATTCATCATATGCCATTAAATTAGACATAATACTCTACAGTTCACCACTTACACTAAACAGATGTGTACTTTGGGTGCGGGGTCCTGCTAGAAAAGATGCCTTAAATAAACCAGTGTAAAAAGTAGCTATAGAGGTGCAGTCGTTCATTCATCATACCTCCTTGTCATTTTTTGCCACCTTTACTCCGATGTCATACCGCTCCTCATCAACAACATCAATCTTGTGATGGAGATCCCTGCAAAGGTCCTACACAAAGAGAGCAAAGCATGGCTGCTGAACAAAAGTAAACATTAGATTTAGATATAGTTTAGTATTTAGTAAATAGATATACTCATAGAGTACGCAATATACAGTATATACTGGAAGAATATGTAGTATACAGTATATACTTATAGAGTATGCAATATACAGTACATACTGGAAGAATATGCAGTACACAGTATATACTGGATCAGTATGTAGTAAACAGCATATATTGGTACTGTATGCAGTATACGGTATATACCAGTAGAGTATACAGTGTATACTATGCAGGTATTGTACACCATATACAGTACTGGTTCAGTGTGCAGTACACAGTATGCCATTTCATTGTTTCTGAGCATGTTGGGTTGAAGCATTGTGGAGCTTGTTGGCTGTTTGGAGAAAAGATCACCAATGGCGCCTCCTAGAGCACCTGGTTAGAATGACACAAAGGCTAAAGGAACTCTTGGACATCATGCCATTAAGGGGAAGGTCAGAATTGTTCAAATGTTCTCCAAGTGTGTTAACCTCCCTCTCCTCTGTCACTGCATCCAGGGAGTCCAGACTGGCTTTCCTGATCAGATTATTGAGGTGCTTGGTGGCAAGACAAGTGAAGTCAAGTCAAAGTTTATTTACATAGTGCTGTTTCACAACAGCCATTGTCACGACAGTAGCAAGGAAAAACTGCGTCCACTGCAAGTGACAACCTGATGTGAAGTTAATGGCTTGCAGCAAGTTTACCTGTAGCTCCTGGACTGACAGGCCTGAGAGCTTTAATGGTGGAACCCTTTCGCTCAGGATGGAGTCTCTCTCTTTCTTCTTCTCCTCCTTCTCCACTATCAGCATCTCTTGGGCCGTGTTTAACATCTTAATCTATGAGAAAACATACTTAATTTAACTCAGTCAAAACCACATTACAAATAGTGGTTCGTAATAGTTCTTGGGTCGGATGGGATGTATGAAAAACTTTTCACTGGCATATACAGGAGGTTCCTCAAACTTTAAAAAGATTCTGAACACTCGCACATACCTTTTTAAAATGCTTCTTGAAAGAACCACAGTATACTCACCTTCAGGCCTAGCCGACGACCTGAGGAAATCTTGGATTTTCTCTGTGGAATTCACAAATATTTACAAATACAACACTGATTTGACTGAACAACACTTATTTTAATTGTTGATTTTTTTTGTTTTGGACATGCATTAGGTACATGAGTGATATCCCATAAGTTGTATCCATTTAGTACTTGAACCTATGAGATGTAAACAAAGTCCAGGGGTTGAAACCAGGGGTTTTGATGTATGCAGTGCAAATATAGCTATTTTATTTTATTTCAAACCACCAGTGAACGTATATGTGTCTTCTGAGTTTTTATATGTAATGTTATTTATAGTAAAATAGTGATAAATCTAAACAAATTAATTTTCTTTGAGGATTTCTTGCCATACAACAGGCACTGTATTCCACTTGTATAAGTCTGTGTGAAGTAGCTTTTAGTGGCATTGATCAGTTTGGACGTCTGGTTTTTATTGTTAATTCAGTTTATTCAGAATGATCCATTTCAGATCAAACCACTCAAACTTTGTTTACTCAAAGAATGAATTATATTGAAAAACCTTTAGAATCCCCCCCTTAAATTTCAAAGATCTCTGTAATGTAAAAGCTCGAGTGGAATGTCTTGAAACTCACCGGTCTGTACAAGCAGAAGATGGAAAAGAAAGACAGCAGGAGGTTAGTTAAAGATAACACAGCAAAAATATCACAGTTAAGAGAAGCTTCTTTAATAGAAAAACTTACGCATCAGCCATTGTTCCTTATAGGACCTGCTTATGAAACAACAACAAAGAAAACAGGGAAACAATATTATTTTTAGTGAACATCATATCAACCCTAAAATGGATTTAATCAAATTTGAAGCAGAAAAGTATACAAGTTGTATCCAAGGCCGTTTGACCAATATTATATCAAATATAACTTTTGCATTCGGTCACTACAGCCAGACAAATTGATATAAGCAATAGCCAAGACTCTCTGATAATCTCTGTAAAGTATAATTGAAATATTTTCTCATTGCATGTCTTTAAATATTCCATCCAGATAAAAAAGATAACAATATGCCTGACGATGAAGGAAAACTGACTCGCGGCACTATCTTGACTGCTTTGTACAGCATTTGCATGTTAGAAAATAAATGACGTGACGACAAAATCTTCGTTCTTCCTATAAATACATGATTTACTCATTCATCAACACTATGCAGTCTGATAGATCAATCAGCTGTTTACTGCACCACTGATTTCTCATCCTCCAACTCAGGCCTAAAATAAATGCATTTTTGAAGGCGAATGCAATTTAGTCCAAGACAAGACTTAATCTATCTCCCTACATATTATTGATGGCTGTAACCGGATACTTTAATCCATTTGACCTTTATCTTTTGTCCTCAGCTCAGTGAAATCACTCCTGCACATAGCGCTGCAGAGTTTCAGCATAGGTGAAAATCTTCATGGATCGTCACCGATTTCAAAGGCATCTGAATAAATGAAATGTGGCTTGTGGCCCCTCATTTATCCAGACGTGTAACACTGATCAGTAACAAGGTGCAAACAATCTCCGAGCAGCATTTCTTAACCTATCATTTATTTGATGCATGCAAGAAGTCAGTAAACAACCGGATCAGTGGCGACACTAATTCTTGCAATATGAATCATTTAGCCTCTCATAATCACTGAAATGACACATACCTGTTTAGAGGAGGAAAGGCAGAGGACAGTATGAACTGGCTGAGGGAGGAAAGAGGAAAATCATTCAGATTTATAGTTTCTAACGCCCATGCAAATGCCTCACTAAAATAGACCTCTGACTGGGCCACTCTGACCATTCCACATAGCTTCCAAACAGGATTCACACAGCAAAGTCGCCTAATAAAACAACTTTTATTTGTCTTGGACGTGAAGGATGGGGTATGGTGGGGTTTGGATGCCACCTGTTGGTGAAGATCAAGGCTTTAGTAGACAGAACCTACAAGGCCCATTTTAGTGCTCTAGTGATGGAAGACATTGTCAGAAACAGATACTACATGGTAACTGTTAATACTACCCTTCCTCAAGGAGAGATTTGAAAATTGTTAAGCTTACAATTTTTTACCGGTATTTATTATAAAATTTGTGTGTTTTTTAGAGTAAAAAATGTTTACTGGGCAGACAAAATGGTGTAGACATTTAAACATATATAATTTTTACAGACTGCTTAAGGTTTCCCCTGCACAATTGTGTGCAAAAGTTTGAACACCCTTGGTCAAATTACTTATTGTTGTGTAAGTGAATAAAAAGTTGAAGTAAATGACACTTTGGGTCATTTCTCTGGTCCATGCATCATGAAATTTACACACAATGTAAAGGGTGACAGGCATTTTCAAATGATGTCAACAACTGAAAAATGATAAAAAAAAATGGAGATACAAGGTTTTGTTTTTGACATAATTTGAAAATGACTGTCACATTTTATATTGTGTGTAAATTTCATGATGAATGGACCAAAAGAAATGGCCCAAAAAAAAGTCTGGCTATACTGACTTATATACAAATGCAGTTCAATATAGAAATAAAATGCTTAACCTTAAAATCTGATATGTAAGCAACAAAAAAACAGTACAGATGCTCCCCGACATAACATAATGACATTAAACACGAGAAAGGAATTAGTAATTCTATGTTAATGGTGAAAATGTAACTAGATAAAAGTAGATAATTGTTCTCACAAATATTCTAGAGCAGAAGTTAACAGTGTCATGACCTTAAAATACTCAGAAAAGTAAAAAAAAAACACCAACATTGTTCTTACATGTATGTAACTACTACTGTCCTCTGGATATGTATATAAATGTGAAGACTTTGCAAAGCGTTAAGGAAAGTGAGGGAATGAGAAAATGTATTTTGGAAAGGTAGACAGGGCCAGTGCATGTGCCAGTAGTGGGCTTTGGCAAAGCTTTAGGTCAACAAGGTCAGTCATTAAGAATCACATGAATGTGATAATTTCCAGGCGCATTAGATGAGCAGCACTTGGCTGGTATCACCGCAGGAGTCATTTGTCTATGGGTTTATACAGACGGGTGTTAGCAGGTGGAGTCATTGTCTTATTGCAATGTGAGCTGCTCTGATTAGAACTCATTCTCTGAGTGAAGTGAGTGCATGACGCTCCAACAGAGGAGTCAAGAATTATCGCTGACCCTTTGCCACTCGATTATTTTTAGGTCTAATGTCTGCAGATAACATTAGGACAAATGCAACAAGTCCTTTACTTAAAATGGCTTTGTGCTGTGATCACAATAAACTATCAGCTCGGCCACTGACGCCAGCAGAGGTTTTATAAGGACAAATGTCAAACCTGCTGAGGTCAAAATAATCAACATCCATAGCATGGCCCTGACCTGGTGACCCCAATGACCCCAGTGTTTGGAAAGGGGTACCTCAAATATCTGTGCATTGTTTCTGACACCCTGTTTAGCATGAAGGCCCGTACTAATGACATTTTAGGCACAGCAAAAATAGCTGACATACAGTTGTTTGAACACCCTCAACTGACATGTCATGAAAATATACTTAATTACGGCAAAATATGGCATTTTTATCCTAATTGTAGTGCACAATTTCTATTTATTTGCTGAGTTTTACAAGCTGGAAAAAAGAAAACCTGTAAAATGTGCCACATCTTTTGCACAGGCCACATTTTATGTTAATTGTTTTCCCCATTAAATTCAGCAAATAAACATTTGCATTGAAATGTGTTTCTCTGTAGAGGATGTGTTAACTTACTGGCACTTAGAAATTAACAAAGCATGTCATGTGAACAAATTGTATACACATGCTTAATCAAAGACATAAACAAGAAAGACTGGTCTTTTTATAGCTGTGCATTTATTTTTGAGAAAACCAACCAATAAGACATCACAGAACAGTTATAAATACAGACTCTGACACTGAGAAGTAATAACAGTATGAGCTTCTGTATGTCCTCTTATAACTTATCTATACAATGACTTTGTGTTGTAACTCGTTCTCTTTAAAGTGCACACAAACACATTAAGATCGATGTATGCTGGACTCAAGAATGGCTAAATCTCAATCTTCATATCAAAGGTTCTTTACCAGATTTTCATGTCAGTAAGAAACTGGTGGAGAATATTCTCTCTCACCAGTGCACATCCTTGATACAGCCCCCAAAACGATGATCACCTGAGAGAACATAAATAGACATGAACATCAGCAGTTATAATAGTATCACTGATAAGATGTGAACAGGCAAAACTTAGACATTTGATTCAAGACATTTTCCAGGCCTCATTAGATATTTTTAGTTTGGACTCAATGGATATGAAATGTTCAAGTTTTGACAAACTGATAAACTTAAGTATATAAACTGTATAGAAACACTTTTTATTTAACCCTTTAAAATCCCAGGCTTGTTACAAACTAAGGCTTATTATTCAGTAATTACAGACACTTCAATTCAAACTAGTTGAGCTATTCTTTGGTCATAAAAGTGTATAATAAAACTGTCGGCTGTGGCCATTTACGGGGTTAGTAAGACAAATCAGTTCATCTACCGTTTACTGTCCACCAGCATCAAACAGCTTCTTCCTGCCCTCCATGCCAGACATGGCCTCCACGTTCTTACGCCAGTCAGTCACCTCCTCTTTCTGTGTGAAAAAACACCAGATTCATTATTAGCAACTGAAGCAAAAATGAGTGAATAGTACTGAACCACATGGCTGAAAGGATACAATTCAAGTCAATCTGAAATCAAAATGTACCTCATCCACCTTATTAGATCATGTCCTTGGTCATAGTAAGTGAGATTCATCATACCATTTAGGGATAAAATTATTGTTTTTCTTTAATCTTTGTTAAGTGTGGCGACTTTTGTCAACTTTAAAAATGTTGTTTAAGTTTTGATTACATCACCGTGCACTAGCAGGCAGGAGAAATAACTAAGTTAACCAGTAATAGACCTCTAAAGTCGTGCATCATTCTGTTGTCGATGCCGTGCCCATATTAGGAATTCTAGGTCTAAGCAGGAACTCCAGCTGTCGCACCCTGTGGTAACAAAAATTTTTCAAATCTGATACATTTTTCCTCTGAATATCACTGGATCCTCTGGATTACATGCCCTCATATGACGTCTCAAACTGTTCTCTTAACTACGACATTTTATGAAGCTTACTAGTTTGTATGGAGTGTTTAGTTGAGGTTATCATGTCAATTCAGTGTGCAGCACTGTTACAGTCTGTGTTCAGTAATTTAGTAAAAATAATACACACTGATTCTTTATGCTTTTAGAAATTTCAGAATGCAGCCAGTTTAAGGGGAGCCTGGCCACTTCCTATTTCTCATATTATATCAAATACATGATTGCAGAACACAAGAGGGCGACTGCCAGTGAGTTGTCAATGAATGGGTCGTCAGTGAATGGAGGTGAGCTACACGACTAAAAACAAAAACTTAAACTTGTTTTAGCCATTTGAAAGGGACTTTTCTTTAATTTTGGAAAGCAGATGGGTGTATTCCATTAAAAAAATGGCAAGCAGGTTTTGTGCATTAAGACGCTAGCATTACTGTTACTGAGTGCTGATTGTCCAGCTGATCAGCTCATTGGCTGAGTGAAATGGTTTGCATTCTCTGACATCATGAAACATCAAAAATGTTCAAAAATTTAACAGCAGAGTTGAACTATTTTATGCTGTTCTATGTTCAGAATATTAGTGCATTTTTCTCTATAAAAAATGTTTAAGCATTTAAAAAATAAGATTTTGCACAAAAGCTCCACAGCAGCCCATTCATCACTCAGGAGCGCCCTCTAGTGTTTGGCAATTCTCCTCACTATACATTCTCTGTCTATGTCATATTTTTCTGTCTCCTCAACCCATCCCCCACCTATCATCAAGAGAACGCTCAGTTAGTACAAAGACCCTTCCTAATACCATGTTTCATTCAAAAATATGTTACCATACTGAAGGAAAACACGTTATGATTTTGGATTACGGTGCACAGTAAAGTCATTTGGAGTGGTAAGCTTCACTTCAGGCCTCACTTTATCTTTGTACATATTTCAGTTTTCTTTGGCACTTACACAAACTTCAGCTCAGGAAGTCCTTGTTAATTAGCTGATTAGCAGAGCTGAGCAGCAATTTCTTTCATTCACTCAGTCACTTGAGCAAAATGTTGATGGATTTGTGCTATGTATTTTCAAATCATAACAATAAAGTGGCAAAAAGGATTCTTTGCATAGAATAACCACTTTTGGTACCTTTGGAAACCTTTGAATGGATGGTTCTTTAGAGAACTGTTTTGGTACATGAGAAGTGTGAGTGTAAAGAGCCTTCCTAAGTTTAAAGACCTTCCACATGATGTATGGGTTTTAGGAGGAACCCTTAGGGGTATAGAACTTTTCCATTATGTGAAGGTTCTTTAGATCTTTGGAAGGTTCTTCAGACCCACAAATCTCATTTACAAACATAAGGAACCAAAAGTGGTTCTCCTGTTACATCAAGTAGCCCTTATGTAGAAGCTTTATTTGGAAAGGTACTTTTAACTTTGGTTAGTTACCTGAAGTAACACCACTTTTATTTGAGTTAGGGTTTAGGCTACTTTACCTACATCTACTGTTTTGTTAGATCAGGTGTGTTGGAGCAAGAAAACACACAAAACACAAAAGTTAGGCCATTTATAAGCTCTACGATAGGCTGTACCTTTTCTTCCTCCTTCTTGACTGTTTTGAGGTTGGCTTTGAAGTCCACAGACTCCTTGACCTTGGAGCCCAGAAGAGCACCCAGCATGGCATCAGCAGAAATCTTCACCCTCCTCAGTGCAGGTCTCTTCATTTTGCCCTTCAGCTCAAAGATTTTATGGGACAGATCTTCGATCTGAAGTCAACACAAGTTTGTTTAGTTGCTAGTGAGAAAACCTATGAATAGAGTTAGGAGTGCAGAGCACTTTGAAAAAGTCAGAGACCACCCTTCATTTAAGCTCCAGCCAGAACAGCCAGTAAGTGCAAGTTATTCACTTTTCAGCGTCAGAAAAAAACAGAAAACATTAATTTAACATAAAATTACACAGCAGATTCAACAACTAAATATGATGTTATATTTCCCCACCCTTTACAGCTTCCACTCTTATTGGGAGTTTTGCTTTCAGTTTTTCCCAGAAATCTGCAGGGATATTTGTCCACAACTCATAAGTTCAGTCTTAGAAGTTGATTGTGTTTTATGCTTCTTACAATCCAAGTAATCCCAAACACATTCAGAGATATTGAGGTGTCTGGACTCTGGGGTGGTCAGTCCATTGTTCTGAGAACACCAACAGCTTCTTTGTTTGATTTGCAAATTTTCTTTTTTTGTGTTTCCCTTTCTCAGTAATGGCTTCTTGACAGCTACACATTTTTTCAGATCTGAATCAAGAGTGGAGCTTGATTTTCTCCTCTCCCTCAAAGATGAAAGCAGTACTTAGGAGTCTCATTTTCTCTGTAACATCTGATCATTTTCCTGTGGCTTTTCTCTTCATTATGCAAGTGGATTATTTGACTTCTAATCCTAAAAATACCTCCTGGAAAATGAATAACCTGTACTTAATGGCTGTTTTGAGTGGAAATTAAATAAATGAAGGGTGGTATCTGACTTTTGCAAAGTACTGTATGTTCTTGAAGAACTTGTGTAGCTGGCAAGTGTACCTCTTTTTCATTTTTGGTCACTTTGGCTGCAATGTCATATCTCTCTTCATCTACTACATCAATCTTTTGGTGTAGTTCTCTACACAGAGCCTGAGGATCATTTACAAACATATGGACATAAAATTTTAAAGGTTAGACATTGAACCCTTGATTTATGCTAAATGTATTTCGCTTCATTAAAAATAAGTGGCTTCAGTGACATTACAATATATATAGGATACAAATAAGTAATTACTTCCCAACATCAGTCACTGTTTTAATATTATGGCTCGATTAGATTTAAAGCATGTCATGTTGACAACCCAACAAACCTGCAGCTCCTGCACAGACAGGCCAGACAGCTTCAGAGGAGGCACTCTCTCGTTCAGAACTCTTTCCCTCTCCCTCTGTTTCTCTTCCTTCTCATTTGCGATCAGTGTGCTTGCTTTCTTTAATATTTTAGTCTGAGAAAAAGAATCAGGTTCAAACTCGAGTGTCATTTTAACTGAAGTGTACTTGTAGTGTCACTTAACCTGTCCAAAAGTGTCCAAACACTATTCTAATTATTAAACTGAGAAACCAATTGCTGACATATGCATTCACTTCTGCACATAGTTTGTGTAATCTCCAAAGAAAAGCATTGGTAATAGAATAGGATTCTCTAGTACAGCCACACAGAAGCCTAAGGTCATCATGCCCAATGCCAGTAAGAATCAGTGAGAGGGTATAAAGCACCCCAGAATTGTGCTGTGGAGCAGTGGAACTGTGTTCTCTGGAGTGATGCAGCCCCATCAAACACCTTTGTTATGAGTTGAAGTAATCCAGATCTGTCCATTCAACATCAGTACCTGACCTCACTAATACTCTTGTGGCTGAATGCAATCAAATCCTCACAGCAATATTCCAACATCCAGTGTAAAATCTTCCCAGAAGAGTAAAAGCTGCTACTGCAGTGAAGTGGGGACAAATTCCCTATTAATAACCTTTAATTCAGAGGATTTTTTGATCGACAGGTGTCTACAAACTTTTGGAAATTCAGCATATTCACAAGTATCATTGAATGTAATGTCTTTACTTTCCTGGAATGCAAGCAATACAAACACTAACCTTCAGGAACAGCCTTCGCGATGCTGAAATCTTAGGTTTCGGTTTCTAAAAACATGAAAGCATAACTTCATTGAGCTTGTATTTTCCTTTGCATTGTACATTAACTTTTAATTAGCATTGCTCAACAATGTTGTCTCAGGTTAACAAATTCATTTTCCTTATGTTACAATCACATGATACATATTTAATGACCTTGAGAGGGATAAGAATGACAGGAGGGGTGTGGCTAAACCAGTTAAATGTTTGGTCTTGGTGATAACATCTCTTAGTGGGCATTTTTAAACTTCTTTCTAGCATGATGCAGCTTATGATGACACGTGACTGAACAAGTCCCTTAACAAAAACACATTTTCATCATTTTTCATCCACCCAAAAATGTAAATCACAGCTGTTGGTGAGAGGTTTATTTTTTAACATTTAGTGTGCATAAATGATTTTTTTTTAATGTTATAAAAAAAGCTTAAATATCTACGTTTCCTAGAAGCAACATTTTGCAAGAGTGGAATAGATATAGCCAAAAGCAAGTGTCACATGTTTTCTAATGTAGTATGTTTTACTGTAAATAAAATCAGCTAGTATTTGTGGTATTTAAAGATAAATACATTGTGTAGTTACTTATTTTTACTCCAAACATTAACATAAAAAATGCTGTGTCACAAAGCACTGACTGCTGAAAACTGGTGCTGAGAACAAACAGGCATAAACTAAAGATAAGCATAACATTCTCAATTCTGCAGAGTGTTTTGACAACCAATGATGAAAAAGTCACAACTTTGTTGACTTACCGGTCTAGAGTTGTAGATGACAGATGAGAGAAATAGTAAGAAAAATTGGAAAGGAAAGTCAATAAAAATACATGTTGCATAAAGCCGCTGGCAATAAGTTTACTGAAAAGGTACTTACGCCTCAGACATTGTGATTTTAAGTGCTTCCTATGAAAACCAATGAAAATGAATCAGGCTTTTGTATCCAACTCTCACATATCCTATTGACTTTTGCAAAACTAACCAACCATTGGTTGTACAACCTTTTACCAAAACACAAATATGGAGACAAAGCTTACATTCATAGATAAAATCCTCTTTAGAAACGCGCATTTAAAATAGCAACATGAGCATCATCAAGAGCATAAAAAGGTTGATAGTATAATAAGATCTGGAAAAGAAACCTAAAGAAATGGTTTTAATGTTTAAAAATGAGTACCAGGCTTTACAGATGTGTACTTTTATCCCAAAGTGCATGTATACCAGACAAAAATCAGACTCTTCTAGACGATCTGACTGTATTGCTTAAAGAAATAACCACCAAGCTGCCTTCATATACCAGTCTTTTTTACAGCTCAGTGAAAATGTTCAATAAAAGTTGAGAGCACATACCTGAACTGTGCAGGAAAACCCCAAGAGAGTGAGCAGAGTGTAACAGTGCCAGCTCCTGAGGAAGCACAATCAAGTTTTATGGCTTCAATGGCCTTCTGTGAGTGGCTCACTAAAATAGACTAGACTGCTTGAAGCTCACTTTACTTAGAAGCTGCAAAACACAATTGCGTGCTTTGCCTAGACCTGGGCCCCTTCCTTTTGTCATTGTTTGACCCTACAAGGGTGCAGAGCTTTGGGTGAAGCATGCCAGTGTGAATGTGAGGCCTAAGGGTGCAACAACACTTTTAAATTTGTTTATCGAGTCAATAGTGATCAAGAGGAATGTGGCTAAGAATTGAAGTGAACTCAGTAATTGGTTGGATTCCATATTTTTGGGATTATATTCAAGAATCGATATGAAACACTTCACAGAGTCTGAATGGGTAGCAGAGCATCTGTGTAAACATGGACAGTATGTAGTAATCCAAGACTGTCAGCATGCTGAAGCATTTACACAGCAGCACATTTGTCACAGTGGACGTGAAGCTTGTTATTGAGAGACACCAGTGGGTTGACAGTGGAAGCCCTTAAAAACACCACACATTTCATCTGAGCATTGCATCATATTTAATTGTGGAATGCCATTACACTGTGATTGTATTTTCATTTGACTGTAAAGAATTGCAATATCTGGCATCATTATGCTACACAACAATACAGAAGGTCAAAAAGTCACAAAATCGACCACTTATCAGTTTATCTGTACAAACAATAACAAATCATTGCTCATTTTTTACTTACACCTGCTACTATACTGTATTGCAATGCACAAAAATATCACGTGTATTTTTGTGCAACAGGAATAAAGTAAATGTAGACAGGCTAAATATATGCTAACAATCACTAGCTTCTGTTCTGTTCACAAAACTTTGCAACATTTACCCATGATCATAAAAACATACAAATCCACATTACAAATATTTTACACAGATAGCTCAACACAGTGATTATCACATTGAATCTGCACATTTTTGATAATCTTGCTTGAGGTTTCAATTTCGGCAAATGTCACAGGTGTCTTCTGATCTTGGCATAGCTCGTTCTTGTGGAAGCCACCTGTTTGTTACATGAGGTTGAATTAGGAATGGAAAGACATTATATTTTGGCTCATTCGTTCATGCAAATCAAATTTAGCCTTACCCCAAATGTAACTGATCAGCCAAGACATGCTTGGGGTCCGATGTTTTCTTCTTTAGTTTTGCACTAGAGCGACAAGGCTAATGTAGCTAACAAGTAATAGAGCTAGCAAGTTAATGCAAGGTTACTCAACAGCTGAATGTAGTTTGACGCAGGTGTGTGATCATTTAGTCTTGCAATTTGCACTCTGCTAACTGGCTATAAGCTTCCATTACTTCTAAGCTACGTTATCCGTGTAGCTCTAGTGCAAAACTATAGAAGAAACTTTCAGATATCAAATACATTTTGGCTGATCACCATTTGAGGGAATGAAAAATCTGTATCAGTTTGATTTTTCACCAAACTGTTGCTTTAAGGCTGACAGTGAAGTGGCACTGTTCATGTTACTGCTTTCATGTACCTTTTACTGCCCAGCATTAAACAGCTTCTTCCTGCCCTCCATGCCAGACATGGCCTCCACATTCTTACGCCAGTCAGTCACCTCCTCTTTCTGTGTGAACAGAAATCAATGGGAGGAGTTCTCATTTTAGACACCCAAAGAAATGATGAAAGCAGTGTAGGTGATTCATGAATCGTGACTTTTTAATAACTCGTAGTGGAAGAGTGGGAGGTAAAGTAAAATGCCCTACCTTCTCCTCTTCTTTCTTGACGGTCTTCAAGTTGGCTTTAAAGTCAGCCTTTGATGATAGTTTGGATTCAGTCAGGGCGCCCAGCATAGCATCTGCAGATTTTTTCACCCTCTTCAGTTTGGTTCTGTTCATGGTGCCCTTCATTTCTCCAATCTTTTGTGTCAGAATCTGGATCTGCAGTGAACACAGCACAACAGTACTTTACTGGAACCAGAATGAAGGACTGTGTTTTTTTTACCTCAACCAAAATGCTAAGTATTCAGTACTGGCTTTTATTCCATCAGTAGCATCATTCGCAGTTTTGCCTGAGTGGTTTAGACTGCTTTATTATGCTGTAGGGCTGTCGCAATGAATCAGTAAAAAAAAATACATATTTTAAAAATATTAATTGTTTAAAATGTTTAAAATGTATGTTCTCAATGAATCGGCTTAGTGATGAGTTTCGAGTATGGATGATAAACAGAGTATGTATAGGTCATTATAAAGCCATGTTTAGCAGATTCTCCACAAGGGGGCACTATCATCGCTCAAGCTGCATTTGTTTGCGTCACACAAGAGGAAACCCACACAAGCAGGATCTCACAAATGCATGTGTTATTAGTTACAAAGTTCATGTATATGAAGTAAAAGAGTATATTAAGAAGGGGTGTTGCTATGTGCATAGAAGAAGTTGAAAAAGCTTTCCTTATCACAATTTTTCAGTGAACCAAAGTATTTTTCAGTATCACCAAAGAGGCATTTACATTGCCACATGCCTCCGTCAATTGTGCAAAACAACATGAAACAACGCTTTTTCATGTTAAGACACTATTTCTGAACATGTAGACACAGCATTAGCTTGCTCTGCTATTTCTCCTGAAAGTAAGAACTTCTGACCTGAGCTGCCAGTGAGTAGCTCGGAAAGAAACACCCTGTTGATGAATGGAGAGCTAACTCGGTACACTCTGTACAAATGTGGGGAGCAGAAAAGCGTCTCAGAACGCACAACATGTCGAATCTTGAGGCGGATGGGCTACAACGGCAGAAGACCACGTCGACTTCCTATTCAGTCAGCTAAGAACAAAATAGCTGAGCAGTGGGCACAGGCTAATCAAAATTGGACAGCTAAAGACTGGAAAAACATAGCCTGGTCTAATGAATCTCAATTGCTGCTGAGGAACAGAGATGGCAGGGTCAGAATTTGCCAACAGCCTGAATCCATGGACCCAACCTGCCTTGTGTGAACAGTCAAGGCTGGTGGAGGTGGTGTAATGGAGTGGGGAATGTTTTCTTGGCACACTTTCGGCCTGTTAATACCAATCAATCATTGCTTAAATGCCACAGCCCATTTGAGTATTTGAGTATTGATGCTGACCATCCCTTCATGACCACAATTTACCCAACTTATAATGGTAACTTCCAGCGTGATAATGCATCATGCCACAAAGCAAAAGTCATCTCAAACTGGTTTGATGAACATGACAATGAATCCAGTAGAAAACCTTTGGGATGTGGTAGAACAAAGATTCACAGCATGAAAATGCACCTGAAAAATCTACAGGAATTGTATGATGCAGTCGTGTAAACATGGATCAGAATCTTAAAGGACTGTTTTCCAACATTTTGTGGAATCCATGCCACAAAGAATCAGTTCTGTTTTGAGAGCAAAGGGAGGTTCTACCCAGTATTAGTATAGTGTTCCTAATAAAACGCTTAATGAGTGTATGAGCATGAATTTTATCTTTTTTCAGTATTTTGAAATCTTTGAAAGTATGTTAGCGTTACATTACGTTACTGTTTTTTATTGTTTGGCCCTAAAATCACATGCAGATTCATTAATCATCAAAATAATTGGTAGTTTACCTGACTACATTGTGATTGATAGCGACAGCCCTACTGTCTTACTGTATGATGTGACAGGATGAGGCGATACCTCTTTTTCATTTTTGGCCACTTTAACTTCAAGGTCGTATCGTGCTTCGTCAACAATGTCAATCTTGCGGTGGAGATCTTTGCAGAGCTCCTGGGAAGGAATTTTCAGATATTTCAGATGCTGTTAACTACACGACTCAGTCACATGGTTGTCTTTCATATTGCTACTAGTAATTTGGTAACAGCAACTACCTGCAGCTCCTGTACAGACAGACCGGACAGTTTGAGTGGAGGAACTCTCTCGTTCAAGGCACTGTCCCTCTCGCGCTTGTTCTGTTCTTTCTCTGCGACGAGCATAGACGCAGCTTTCTTCAGAAGCTTGCTCTGTTGGGTAACAGGTTAGACAGTGAAGACGTTGGACAGTGGCTGTAAAGTAATTGCTATCTATGATACTTAGGCCACCTAATTTAGGCTGGTGAAATCACTTGATATATAACCACAGCACTCACTTTTAAGAACAGCCGGCGTGTGGCCGAGTACTTGCTCTTTTTCTGAAAGTGAAAAAAGAAATTATTGAGTAAATGTGTTTCACTGTGGTCTTTTTTAAAACTTGCAGTATATAGCACTGTGAAAAAGTGAGAGACCACCCTTATATTTAATTTCTAGTCAAATGGCCATTATGTGCAAGTTATTCATTTTTCAGCTTCAGGAAAAAAACAAACATATTTAACAGAAAATTACACAGAAGCCTCAACAAGTAATAAATATAACATCACTTTTTTCACTATTTAGTGTGTCCACTCTGCCCCGTTATTACAGCTTGCGTTGTTTTCAGTAGACTTGCTTTCAATTTTTCTAAGAAATCTGCAGGGATGTTTTTCCACACCTCCAAAGTTCAGTCTTAGAAGATGGTTGCATTTTCTCCTTCCAACAGTCCAAGTAATCACAAACACATTCAGTGATGCTGAGGTCTGGACTCTGGGGTGGTCAGTGCATTGTTCTGAGAACACCAGCAGCTTCTTTGTTTGACTTGTACATTTTCTTCTTTTTTCTCAGCTTCACAGCTACAAATCCTTTCAGACTCATAGTGCTGAACTGTATTTTCACAGTGGAGGGATGGACAGAAACAGCTGTGGAATTTTTCAGATCTGAAGCAGCTTGTTTTTCTCCTCTCAAAGGAGAAACCAGGTCTTGTATGGTTGTTAGGAGCCCCATTTTCTCTGTATCTCAATCAGGAACTGCTGTTTTTCACTTGTTTTCCTTTGACTTTCCTCTTCCTAATACAAGTGGATTATTTTATATCTAATCTCCTCAGAAATATCTCAAGAAAAACGAATTACTTGGACTTAATGGCTGTTTAGACTGGAAATGAAAAAAATAAAAAGTGGTCTCTGACTTTTGCACAGTACTGTAATATGAAAGGGGGGAATTTGAAAACAACTCCAAAATAGTGGCTTACCGGTCTGTTTTGGTGTAAAATAAAGAAAAGAAAAAGAAGAGAGTAAACATCGATCAATCAAATAAGCATGATTTGATTTACAATTGGTCATTACTATCATGTAACAGGGAAAGGGTTGACATCTTACCCCTCAGACATGACTTCTGTTCTTTATGTGCCCTCCAAAAAAAGAAAAAGAAAAGTCATTTAAGATGAATAGATGACACAAGTACACAAATATTGGTCTTAAAGTCTTAAATTAATCTTGATTTGAGTCAAGAAAACATACAAACATTTTTCTACTAATGAGATCAAAGACAGCAGGATGATTGCATGTGTCTGTCCAGCTTGATAGTCATTAGGAAACATTGTTACATTGACTACTTGGCAAGATCAAACAAATCTGCCAACAGAACACCGTGACAGCACTAAGAATAAACTGCATCTTGCGTCTTTGTTTCCTAGAAACTGAATATAGACCCTACGAGCGCAACACCCTGTTCAGTTCTGCATGGGTTGTACAATGTCTGCTTAATTGTAATGTAGGCCAAGAGGTGCTAGATTGTTCCTGAGGGGCTATATTTGAACATTGCTACCATGCCTTCCTATCACACTCGCAGCTGCAGCCTTGACATGCTGGATGACGACTGTGACCACCACAGAGATCTTGGCTACCAGAACTGAAATCTTTATGGAGCTGATCACAAGACAGAAACCTGAAATCTGTCCTTGCTGTCCAAGAAGAAGTCATGAGTTAATGTCATCATTGGCTTTGTGCTCAGACGACAGAAGATTTGTGTTTTAGACAAAGTTTAGTAACCATAGGCTCTTATAAAAGCAATAAAGGTCCCTAAAGCGTTCTTTTTGAACAATGTTGTAGAAGAACCACCCCTTTAAATAATTCAAAATGAGTATGAGGAACCAGTTTATAGGTTAAAGAACCTCCATATTCACATTATAGGTTTTTCCTAGAACGTCCAAGCCATGAACAACAGAGGAACCTTTATTTTTAAGAGTTTGGTACAGATTCTTTTTAATACACTCTTAAAAAAGTGGTTCTTCAAAGGTTCTTTAGTAAAGACAATTATATATGGAACCATGATAGCTCAAAGAACCATCTGAATGGTTAAATGATGGAAAAAAAACTTGAAAAATGGTTCAGCACCAAAATAGTTCCACTATTGTTATAGGACCTCTTTTGTGCTATATAGAGCTCTTTTTACTAGGGGTGGACTCCAATTGTTGACCTGAAGTTTTGTGGGTTCATAGCAAACATTAGTCTTGAAAGATTTAGTCTTAATTTGTAGATCTTAGTATTTCAACACACTTAATTTCTCTAAGGAATCTGCATCCTTGGCCTCAACAGGCCCCTCAGGGACCAGGATGGTATTTTTACAGAGCAGGCCAGATGACAAAAGCCAAAAGTCAGGGTGGGCATTCCTACTGTATCCTCACTTTTGGCCTAGATTATCCAGCTAAACTGATGAATCCTGCTTTGTGGAGTAACTCCAAGGTCACCTAGATCTGCGCTACAAGTCATGAGGTGATAAAACCAGAGCTAATAAAGAAGGTGGGAAAAGCAAAGCTGCTGGGGGTGACACCTCAAGGCTTCTCTCATTCCTCACACAGCAACATTCTGACTTGGGTCAAGTGTCCAGGCCAAACAATATGTTAAAGTGTCCAGTTACACTTCCCCATTCAGCGGCTCCAGCTTGGTCAGAGCTGCCGGCTAGTGCTGTGTTAACGGTCCCTGTAGCCCCAGCAAAACCAGCTACAGCATTTCATAACATGCATTCTCCAAGGTTAGCACGAGCAGACTGCTGCTGAAGCACTCTTTTGCAATCCTTGATAATCCCTCCCTGCTATTATGAGATGCATAACTGCAATTCCACATGGAAACCTGGAGAGATTATCTACCAAAGTACAAAAGCCTGCTGTAAAGACCAAATAGGCCCTATTAACCTGCTACTAATATAAGACAGCATTCAATAACTGTCCAAATGTATTTGACAGCCAAAACTATGACCAGGTCCAATGGATACTGAGGCAATCCTGCTCTAACTTACCTTGAAGTAGAAGAGGACCAGGAAGAGTGAGGTGTGCAGTCAGAGCAGAAAAGGCATTTTATGGTTTTTGATGACAGATTTATGGTTTGAATCCCTTTCGTGAATGGCTCGCTAAAATAGACCCCCTGCTACGCCTCACGCCCTCTCACATGTGCAAGAACACCTGCCCTTCACCTGCCTTTCAGTGTGGCGTTTGATAGATGCCTTATTCACACACACACACCGAGACAATGGTCATTCAAAAACTCTGGTGACCTTTATCTCTAGGAACCATCTTTCACAATTAAAAGGCAAAAAAACACGATAAACATGAGCATAATCACGCGTATACCTCTTCCATTAAAGGTAATGTACTCTCTAACTAAAAATAAATGAGCATGACACACATTTAATTCATGTAACACATATAAATCTAATCCACGTTCAAGGTGCCCTCTGAGCTACTACAAATCTAAATCTTATAAAACAGATGATGGTGGAGCCACAATCAGTAATCAGTGTGCAGAAGAGCACCCTTATTTATTTATTTATTTATTTATTTTAATTTTCAGTCAAAACAGCCATTAAGCACAAGTTATTCATTTTTCCAGAGATATTTCTGAGGAGATTAGATGTAAAAAAATCCACTTGTATAAGGAAGAGGAAAGTCAAAGAAAGAATAAGTGAAAAAACAAGGGTTTCCAAAACAAAATATGATTAAAAGCTACAGAGAAAATGGGACTCCTAACAACAGTGTAAGAACTGGTAGACCACCAAAGCTGTCCCCATCAGAGCTTTTGTCGTCTCTTGCAGCCCCTCATCTTGCAGATCTGAAAAAATCCACAGGTGTTTCTGTCCATTCTTATTCTGTGAGAACTCTGTAGGCCAGGAATGTTGTGTAGCTGTCAAGAAGCCCTGAGAAAAGGAAACAGACCAAACAAAAAAAAAAAGAAAATTTGAACTAGAACACCAAAACTGGACATCTGAGGTTTTATGGATTAATGATTACCTGGTTCGTGCAACTAACTTCTAAGACTGAACTTTAGAAGTGTGTACAGATTTCTTAAAAAACTGAAAGCCCCCTGAAAAGAATGAAAGCTGTAATAAAAGCAAAGAGTGGACACACTAAATACTGAAATATCTGATATTATATACAGTTGCTGAGGCTTCTGTGTAATTTTCTGTCAGTGATATGTTTTCTGCCTTTTTCCTGAAGCTGAAAAATAAATATTTGACTGGAAATTAAATAAATAAAGGGTGGTCACTGACTTTTTTGCACAGTTCTATATGAAGCTTTTGGAAAATTATATGTTATTTATATATCTTACATTCATAAACACACATATAACCTTACACATCAGTTTAACTCTGTATCAACTGGTAAGTTATGCTGACTGCCAGAGGTATTGTTTATGGGATTATTTTTAATGTATTAAACCTATTTTGAACATTTATTGATTTTACCACATTGTATTTTATAGCTGTTGAAGCTTTGTGTTGTGCCTAGTTGTAGTCAAATTGTGTACTGCATGGCCTCACATTACTTATCTGTTTAAGAACTGATGATGGGGTCAGTTAAGGCCAGTCATGGCTGTGTTTAAAGGCCATAAAAGCAGAATCTGTTCTGTAGCTGTGTGCCTGACATTGCTCTGTAAATGGGCTGAGGGCGAACTATAACTCAAGTGAGCATAACTGCTCATAAAGTAACTGCTGCATGGTCCGACTACTGATATGATTACATAATGGATTGGACAATCCACTAAATTAGTGCACTCAAAAATATGATCAAAATATTAAGCCAGGATAAACTAGAGGCTATCATCTATTGCATTAAATGTCATTGTTATGCACAGTTGTCTTTTATCTGTAAGAGTGCTGACATGGTCATCTATGAAAGGGGGACTGTAAGTGTTTATGTGTGCCATTTTGAGGGAAGGGGGCTTCTTTGAGTTTCTGATGACCGCTGGCATGCTACTGGAAATATAAACATGTCAACAGAACCCTTTATAAGTCAATTTTCATTTTAAAATTATGAATATGTACTTTACTTATATTACTAATACTTATGTATATTATGTAGTGTGATGTGATCATTTATAAGTACTATAATGCTATGGACTTCATTTACAACATCTAAGATCTTACTGCCCTCTAGTGGATATTTATACTAGCATTCAAGATGAATGACATAGTCTATCATTCAACAGCCTGGAATCACTGTTTATTATATTACAAAACTAATTTTGTATGCAGATATATGCACAAAACAATGCTAATATGATGGCACTGAGTAACCTCACAAGTTTTGAGGTGTCCAGAATGATGAACAGAGCTGCAGATGCTTCTATAATGACTGAGAAAGCTGTATAACATTGAGAATGAAGCTATACTGGAATCAACATCCAGAACGCCTTGTATTTTTAAGAAAGTAGTGATTAAATCTTGAGTCAGAGAACTCGACAAAAAGGTAATCACAGTATATCATATGTATGAAGTTTATACAGTTTATGAAAACTTGATATACTAAATAAAACATCTGAAAATATATTGTGGTGTGTAGTTTATAATATCTACAGAACTGTGCAAAAGGCAGAGACCACCTTTTATTTATTTAATTATCTGTCAAAATGGCCATTGAGCACAAATGATTTTTGTCAGGATATTTCTGAGGAGATTAGATGTATTATTATGGGCGTGCATGAAGAAGAGGAAAGTCAGGGGAAAATAAGTGAAAAAACAGAAGTTTCCAACAAATTTTTAGAAGATACAGAGAAAATGGGACTCCTAACAGCTGTGCAAGACCTGGTAGACCACCAAAACTGTCACCACCAAATGGAAAAAAAATAGTCCAAATGTATTTATCAAATCTATTTTGGCAATGTATGAAAATTTGTTAATTGTTTATTATATTTGTTTTTATATGTTTTCAGTTGTATGCAGTTTTATAGCTAAATATACCTGAACTGAATGAATGGTACTGACTTCTGTGTTTTGCTTTGTACTTTGCATTAATCATGTACACATGCAGTAAGTATTTCAAATAAACAAGATTTCAAATCATAACTGCATTTTCACGGTGCATCAATACCACCAACACTTGCTTTTGCATGTTAAAGGTTCATTTGCTAATAATCAAAATTAAGATACTGGAATACAAATTCATTCCAACAGGTGTTTCAAATAGCATGCTTTTTGGCTATTTTCCTACATTTTCAAATGTATTTTATAAATACATTTACATACATTATTTTTTGTTTGGTACATTTCTAGGTGTAATATTAAATACATTTTAAATAAAATAAATGCATTTTAAAATACATTTGGTTAATACAGCAATATATTGTGAAATACATTTTAGTGTTTGGAATGTATTTCAGCCTGTACTACAATGTATAGTCCATATATTTTTTTTCCATATGGGCCCTGAGAAGCGGACTTAAAGTTGGTATTTTTAAGAAACTGCTGGTGTTCTCAGAACAATGCACTGATCACTCCAGAGTCCAGACCTCAGCATCACTGAATGTGTCTGAGATTAGTTGGATTGTGAAAAGTAGAAAATGCAACCAACTCCTGACTGAACTTTGGAGGTGTGGAAAAATATCCCTGCAGATTTCTTTGAAAAACTGGAGGTAAGATTCCTGAAAAGAATGGAAGGTAAAATAAAGGTAAAAAGTGAACACACTAGTAGTGCTCTTGTTGTAAAGGTAAATGAGTTCACCTAGCCAACATGTGTTTACTTCCAAAATGTTGAGATTAAGTACAATATATACCCATATCTTCTCCCTTGTACATCAAATGGCAACCCTTAGCACTTCTCTATCCGGTCTCTCAGTCAAATACTAATCCAGTGCTACGGGTACAGGTGAAAGTGAAACTCATTAGTTTCACGGACATCTTCTGAAATGGAAAATCTCCGGCAGATTTATCTGATCTGGTTATTTCCTGTCTACCATCAGAAAAAGCTTCTTCAGTTTTTCAGCCACTGCTTCAAGCACACCTCGATCTACACATGCTAGATTAAAAGCAGTTTCGGAAGATTACCGGGCAAAAGGATGATTTTTGTCTTTTTGTTGCTTTCAGTTGTGACAGAACAGGTTTCTCCTCTTGGTCTGATAAAGGATCCTCCAGTGCAGTGCTCCCAGGAGGTGAGGGGTTTCTCTTTTTCTCAATTACTGTCCATCATCGAATTTGTAGATAAGTTCACATAAACTCAACTGCCTTAATGAATAATCATTATGTTTCTCTTTGTCAGGGATTATCATGCGGTTTTAATATAAGTGAGTATGAAATGACCTCAGTTTGGTCGTGGATATTATGCATGGACACAAAAGGTCACATCTGTTTCTGTTGAATTCAGGTAAGTCACAGTGTTCAGATGAAGGCTGGGTGAGGCCGAGGCAGGACTGTCCCATGTTGCCTGAACTGAAGGTCGAGGTGTCATTTAGGGCAGATGAGAGTGAAGACATAGTTCCTGTTCTATTTCTCACACTCACTGAACCTGCTGATGGTAAGACATGCTTATCTAAGCCCCAATACACTCTTAAAGGGGAATTCCAATTTCCAGTTCCACTGATTCTTCATAATTTCTGAATAATTAAGATGTAAACAAAATTGTTCCTGAGCAGCATGACCTTTCAAGCTTTGCCTCTAAAGTCAGGTTTTTTCTTATTTACAGCAATCCCACATGGGCATTTCAATGTGAACTCAGGCTCACTCACTTGCACCTGTATACCCAAAAGACAAGGCCCTGACTGGCAGTTAGTGTTCTCTTTCAAGCATGTTGAGTGGTACAACTATCTAGCATTAGCTGCAGTTCAAAAAGTTGCATTGGCTGGGTTCATGTGTCTTAGAGGAAGCATATGCCAGCCCTCACCTTCCCCCCAGCTCCCCAGGCTTGGTAGCAAACAGCTAGAACTCAACATGACTAAATTTGGGAGAAAACTACGTAAAATAAAACTTATATATAAAGTCATTCAGTGTGGTTTGATGAGAAATGCAGCATTATAGAGTGAAATCAGAGCAAAGCTACCTCTCTAAAATTTACAATAAATGGTTACAAATATGTTGCTGATATTTGAGACATTGTTTTATGATTGTGTGATATGATTTTGGCCATGATCATAGGTTTCATATTACAATGCCAAGGGGTATTTATGTAGGGTGTTGTAAAACAAAATAGTTGCCAAAGAAAACATATTTGTTCTGATTTACATCTATTTTCCAAATCAACATGTCGTTGATGTCCAAAGGAGAACAAGCATCTCCAAAATAGTAACTTTACAGGAGAAGGCAAAAACACTTTTATCTTTCAATGTAAGTCAATGTAAAGAGATTTTATTCCAAGTGATTTTAGAGCATTTCTATTTTCACACAATGTAAAGGACAGGTGTGTTGAAATGATGTACAAAAATAAAAATCAACAAAAATGGAGATACATGGTTTTCTCTGGACAGCGATGATATAAAATTATGTGTAGGTTCACTGGTCACTGGTTTTTGGATAGTAAATAAAATGGCTATATTTGTGTTGGGGATGTCGTGACCTTGGTTTCTTTTACCACCACTGTAAAGAAATCCAAGTCAGCAAGTTTCTCTAAAATTAAACTTTTGTTTCTCAACCACTTAATTTAAAAGAATTGGCAGAATTCCCCTTAAAATATGTAAGGGCCAAAAGGATTCTTTGGAGTGATGCCATAGAAGAACCATAGAAGTTTCCTAAAGAATGTTTCAATGTATGGCTCTTCAAAGAACCTTGTAAATAAGATTTAAAATAGTTTAAATGACCTCCATATAATGTAAAGATTGCATATCAGTTAAAGGTTTTCTCTTAGCAGCATACAAACAAGCCAGGAACTCTGAAGGGATCTTTTAAGGGGATATAAAGGGATTTATAAAGGGAACAATGGGCCTCATTCACTAACTGTTCTTAAGAAGAGATTTCTTCTTAAAACAAACTTATGCAGCTTTCACAAAGATTCTGACATTCGTCAGTGTTTTCTTATTTGGGAGAATCTACACACACTCAAGAGCACAAAGGTGTGAACAGTTCTGCGACTTAAGAACACGTTATCAATTTGATGTAAACTTTTTCTTAAGACCTTTCTCATGAACAAATTCAGGAAAAAAACTTGGTGAATGAGGTCCTTAGTTTTAAAGAGTGTAGTTGGCTAGACATGCCCTTTTCCTGCATATGTTTGCAAAGGCAAAGGCAAAATGCAGTATTTGCAGTGGTGGTGAAAACTTTGATCAGCTTTATCTTTTGACAAAAGTTCCTGATTGAACTACTCCCAGTTTAAAAGAAAACTAAAAACTGCAGTAAAAGATCCACTATTGAAGTTACTGCTCTTTGCCTATGAACACTCTTGTGGTTCCTCAAGGTGTCATTAATAGTTATATATAGAACCATCACAAAAACCTGAATTCTCAAATTGTTCTTTACATGGTTATATGGCTCTTCTCCATGATGGAGACGCAGTTGTATAATGTCCTTTAAGAACCTTTTAAAAATGGTTCTTGATAGCATCAAAAAGGGTTGTGTTGTTGTTGAAGGCCATAGAAACTTTTTTGTTACTATGTAGAACCTCTTCGTCAGTACAAAGCAGTATAGATTTCATTATTATAAATAAAATAGTCTCTTGATTGCTTCTTGTAATGAGTGTTACTTAGCAATCATCACTCCTGGGAGCACTAAAAATGGATTCATTCCAAATCTGAGCCACAACTGTAACTCTAACTGCTTTCTCTCCTCTTTGCTCTGTACTGTACTGTAGGAAGCATTTTCACTCTGCAGGGGACGGAGGTGCACGTGCTTGAGGTCACCACTAACAGCCATCTATGTATTCGTTACATGTTCCCTAACAAAATAACATTGATTTTAAATCAGGATGAGAAGCCAGTAAGTCCTTGTTGTTCTGTTATGCTCGATCAATTACTGAATGACTCCAAAGTTTTTATTTGTGAGTTCCACAAAGTTAAAACTTATTATTCATTGTCATTTAGTGGTCTTTTACTTTGGACCGAGTTGTGGTCGATCCAGGGTTGACCTATCAAGTTTCTGTATCTAATTTACCGAAGCCAGATGTGGGGAGACGTGCAGAAGTGCAGAATATTACCGTTCCAGGTGAGCTACGTAATCTGTACTGACCATGACTACTGTTAATTTCAACAACTAAAGCTTAAGGGACATTCCGGCCAAAATAAAAAAATAAAAAAAGCACCAGTTGTAAACATGCCAGCTCTTATATTACTGCTCCTGTAGTTTCCAGAGTTTTGGTTTAAAGACTAGGCAGACCTCCTTCTAATGATGTATGTTGAAGGTTGAACCAATCTTTTGAAAAACTACAGCTTTGGTGGATTTTTGAGGGTTGTTTTTTTTCTTTGCTAGCTAATGAATGCAGAAGAAAGGCTAATGCCACTGCTAGGGGACGAATATCTTACTGTAGCTGCAGTCGCTGTGTTCAAATCATCATTACAGTGAATGAACAGAAAGGATTAATGAAATGATGCATGAAATGAGCAGTACAACAAGCTAAAAGCTAAAGTTAGCACATTAGCTACCTGCTATCTAGATATCCTACATCAGTTTGGCTTCTTTCTCTTTCTTGAAAGGATTAAAAACTTCTCTCTGGCAGCCATTTTGTGTTGAATAAAGATTGACGTTTTCCTTACAATTCTGTTCTGGGGTACTAATGCCACTAATGCCAGCTCAGTTGTGTTTATTAGCCTATAGACCAGTGGCTAGGCTACAATTCAAGATTAGTTCACACCACAGGGACTCTCATACTTGCTGGGTATTGTAGTGAGAGAACACTGATAAACAAAAACATTCATCAATGTACAATCAAACTGATGAGGCCTCCATGATATTATAAAGCTTATTGCCTCAAGTGACTTATTGCTTTTATAAAATGGCAGCAAACATAAATAATGATAAAATACACAAATTTTCAGAAAATAATTCATTATTAATAATAATCGACACAAACAAGTATTCCACCAAGAAATATAATTCCTTTAGAGTATGGTATTGTTGCCAAGCAACCATGGACCGCTGAATGAGGAGAACGTTTGGTCGCCCGTTGCTGTATATCGCGGTCATTTCATGATTTTTTAAACCTTTTGTCATATAACAATGAACATGTGATAAGACAGCACTGTTTAATGCAAAAAAAACTCTAGCTTTATAAGTACTTTTTGGTCACCAAATTACCACCAATCCAGCAGCGCCCCACTTTTTGTGCTGGGTCTGAATCTCAAATCGCTCCCTGCTCCCTACATAGTGCACTACATAGGAATTTAAATACTGGATCCTGCACCCCAACGGTGCAAAATATAGCAAAGAAATAGTCATTTGAGACACATCCATACTCGACAAATGATGCACTATTTGGCTGTAGAGGCTAGAATTTCTAAACTTTCATAGCTAGCACACTATGGAATACGGAGCCATTTGGGATTCAGCCTGGGTTTGATGCTATTAAGTATGTAAGACATTCAAGTGACATTTTTTAGACGTTTATACTGTTGTTGTACAGTTAATCATACTTTAAGTGCTTTAATTCAAGCCTGTGATATTAATTATGGAGTTGTTTAGCATGTTTGCTATCTTTTAGCCTGTTAGCTCGCTGACCAGCCTAGTTCTAGTTAAGAACATAAGTTGTCAGCCCCTCAGTTTAAACAAAAAACGGTCTTACTTCAACAGTATACTCGGGTCCATGCGAGCAGCATGAGAGTTGAAGATTATTCGAGTAACAGCACAAGGGTTTTTTTGTGCCGTGGTGGAGTAATACACAGTTCAGTTGTTGTGAGGCGGGCATAGGTGTGGATCCTGTAGATTTTACAACGACTTTGAATGTGACTTAACCAATCAGATTTTAGGACCTATCTGAACTATCTGTTTCATAAAACTAGTTTTGTGCCCCTTTAAATGCTGTGTTCAAACTGTAGCTCTAAATGTGAAATCTTTTTGACTGTTTTGTCTTTATTTTAGTATTTCTATTCACTTATCATTGATTTATCATTGCTTTGTTGCTGTCAAGGGTGTACAGATCCTAGCATCCAAAAGCTCACAGTGTGCCTGGAAAATGGTGAGCTGTATTCATTTAACTCTAGAAAGTCAATAGTATTTGTTTTTTCAAGTCAATCTTGTTAATTCCATGTAAATATAAATGCTTTGTACTATCAGGCAGCCTCTGGAATCCCAACCCCACCTGGTCATTTTCAGATACTGAGAACAGTGGAGGAGTGATCACAATGACCTTTAATACTGGACAGTTCTCTGAGCTGTACAGAGTGGGCCTTCACCGTCCTGATTTTCACACCAACTCGTCATTCACAGTCTCAAAGGTGCTTTCTTTATTAACTTATTTATTGTACTGTTTTGTAAAGTGTCCTTGCATAAGTCATAATCCTGCTATTTTTATGCTAAGAATACATACAGAACATATGATGTGAAATACTTTTTTTACTTCACAGGACAATCGTACATCAATAAGTGTCAATTTCTCTCTGAATGCTTTGCAGTTAAAACGCTGTGTTTCTGTCTTTGTGGTGAGTTGTAACATTGTTCACTCACACCTTTTGAGCCCTCCCTTGCCCTGTTTATCTTTTAACAGAAAGTCATGACTTTTTGCATGCTTTTTATAGATTAAACCATTCTTTGTGAGGTGCATGAATAGCTGTTCAGAATACAAAAAAAAGTTCAGAATACCGGAAAAAGTTCAAATCTGCTCAAGTAAGTACTTCTTTTACTTCTCGTTATTAGTTTCCTAGATTTTGCCCTTTTTAAGCCAAAACCAACAATGATGAGATGTAAGTAATGTACATCTGTAATGTACCATAACGTTTTTATCCACAGTCAACATGTTAAAATGCTGTTTCTTTCAGGCCCTGAAATAAAGATCACCAACAGACAGCACATTTCTTGGGCTGTTTTTGGCCTAGTGGGGCTCATAATTTTTGCTTTCTACGCTGCTCTGCTGCACAGCAACTCAAAGGAGGGTCAGTATAACTTTTTTAAAAAGCAACAAATGCAGGCCTTCTGTATGTAGTATGGTGACATTGAGTTAAATGCTTTTTTCCACTGTTCACTCTTATGGAATGTTTATATTTAGGTTATTTGATTATTTTAATTTTTTAATGGTAACACTATATGCCCAAAAGTACCCAGACACCTGCTAGACCATAATTTTTTAAAAATCAACTGTATTAATTTTACTGCAATTTCAGAGTCTTCTTTTCTGAAAAGGCTTTACACTAGATGTTGGAACATTGGGCCTCATTCACCAATATCTTCCTATTTTTTTCATAAATTTGTCCTTGAGAAAGGTCCTAAGAAAGTGTACATCAGATTCATTCATGGATGGGAGCAATTACATGAAAAAAAAACACTCTAGGTCTTCTGGAAGTCTCAGCTATGATACCAGGTTTCATTTAGTTGTTAGAAATGTAAAACGACAGAGTTCTTTCCTGAAAGAATCACTATAAAACTATTGGATATGGGAAAATATGTGTTAATGTCTTTTACAAGCTTCTTATAAGGAATGTTTCTACAAGTTTTAAAGGTCAGTGTTTCATGTAGGATGGCCAAAAAATATTAATGTGTGCCACTGCTAACTTAGTGATAACATACTATTGGAAATCTCATAGGAGCGTCAGCAGAAGTCAATTGTAATGGTGGACATTTTCCTTGTTTTTGACCAAGTTTTGACATTTTTGGCCTGAACTAGAAAGGTAGCTCTAATAATCATGGTTCACCACTCTCCAATACATGTCCAACTCAGCCCACACCAGCACGTTCAATGTCATATGACACACCAGCTCCAGCTGCAATGGCATAGACACAGTCAGTGTTCTTCTTCATTCAAATTGTGTTAAAAATATGAGAGTATTGCATTGTGAACCCCGTTAGTCAATCAAATTGAATTGTGAGCTGAGTGCATCATTACACCTCTACTTTTCAGTCCAATCTGAGTTTGGGAAACTGGTCAAACATAGTGCACAATAGCTGTCTTCGTATATTATGTATGACAATCAATGTCCTACACCTTTTACAGATTCATATTCTTCTTCTCATAACACCTCTGACAAGGAGGAAGTGGAAAGTGTTCCAGTGCAAAGGCCCAGTAAAGTCTTCATCATCTACTCTCTGGATCATCCCTTATACAAAGAGATTGTCCTTAAGCTGTGTGCCTTCCTAAGAGCAAAGTGTGGCACTGAAGTCACCCTGGACCTGCTGGACTTCACCTGGCTGAGTACTGTAGGCAGCATCCAGTGGCTGGACATGCAAAGGGAGAAACTGTCCATGTCTTCAGATAAAGTGCTGATCTTATGTTCTCCAGGGGTGTATGCCAAGTGGAGGGGCATGTGCGGAGGGAGGAGGGTGATGACCAGGGAGGACGTCCGGTCACCTATGGGAGACATGCTCACCCCGGCCCTTGCCCTCATCGTACCAGATTTTGTGCATGCTTCTTCTTTCCAAAAGTACATTGTGGCTTACTTCGATGATGTGTGCAATGAGAAGGACGTGCCTGCTCTGTTTAACGTGGCAGTGAAGTACCAACTGATGAAGCACTTTGAGGAACTCTTCTTCAGGCTCATGGACAAGGAGAAGCACGAACCTGGAAGGATTAAACAGGTTGACGGTATCAGTGGAGATGACTATTTCAACTCTTCGCCTGGAAGAGCCTTGAAAGATGCCATTGAGGCTTTTCAGGCTTACCAACTGGCAAACCCCAACTGGTTTGAAATGGAGCTTGTAGATGCAGATGGAGAAGTTGAGGAAAGTAGCCTAGAGCGGGACTGTACCTGTGTTCTTCAGAACCAGCTATGGGCCACAGAGATCACAACTCCTGCACTTGTCAACAACATTGGAGGTCAAATGCATGAAGCAGAGCCTGTAACATCAAATGCTGAATCTACAGTCTCAGACTTCTCCTTAAATGGCATTTATACCACAGTCCCCTTCATACCCACACTGAGCAGCCAGATCAGTCACTCAGGAAACCCAAACAAACCTGCAGAGGCAGTCATTGACTCTTTGTGACCAAAATGGAAAAATGATGAGGCAGATGTTGACCCTGTTCTGATTTTGACGAAATCACACATTTGCACTTGCTTTTTAAAAACAGGAGATTATTTTTTATGTAAACTCTTTTCTGTTATTTATGTTTATGTGTAACAAATAAATAAACTGAAAGAACTGAATGAATCAGTAACTACTAAATAAACAGATAAATGAATGATTGATTTATTAATAGGCTGAACTAAACAATCAATGAATCTGATTGGAGGAACTGTTGAAGACAGATACCATTTTTCCTGGAATAAGATTTTTTTGCCCAAGTAAATAGTTTTAGACTATTTGTATCGGTCCATTCATTAAAAAATGTAACACATTGTAAAGGCCAAAAGGCATTTTCAAATCATAAATGCTATTGTTGTATTGTTAACTTATTTACAAAAACTTTTTTTTTAATTTATTTATTTACTACTCATTACTATTCATTTATTTACAAGTGATTTAAACAATTACAATGATACTTCTTACTGTAATAAATATACTGAGTTTATTACTAAAATATACAACCACATAATTCTGAAGCACACCAGTTTAGATCAAAAACAAGAGGCCTGTAAAAGAAGGCTGTGGTAGTGGTTAGCATGGTTGCCTTACAGTGCTGGGACTATGAGTCTGAACCCTGTCTTGGTGACTTTCCATGATTTCTCTGCATTCCTCCAAACTTTTCCTCCAAGTGCTCCGAATTCATGGATAATGTGAAGATTGGTCAATCAGAGTTAAATGAGGAAAATTTCAGCAAATCGTCCAATTACAGCAGGTAAAATCAGTGAAGAGATTTCACTGGCTAATAAGAATGCAGGATTCCACTAGCCAGTCAAAATGCAGGATTCCAGAAGCCAATCACAGCCCAGGATTCCATTATCCAATTAAAATACAGAATTGAGAAGCAATTCAAAGCACAAAATTCCACTATCCAATCAAAATGCAGGACTGAAGCAGCAAATAAGATTGAAGGAAACAGTCATCTCAGAGGAGGCCCATGTCTTCACGAGCCTGCTAGCTGGGTATCTGTGGTGCCCTAGCAGTAGATTGCAATTTGAGATGAGCGATATGAGCTGAGTTCTGTTAATTATGCCTTCTAATTCAATTGCATTGTTTGAACACCAGAATCAATTTAACACCAGAGGGGAACCATCAAGGCTCTTAATGTTTTTTAGGAACACAAAAAAAAAAAACATCTCAGTAAGGTCATTTTAATTAATCTTTTTATTTAATATTGTAGCATTAAAAGGGATAAAGCTTTCCCACAAGTCGCGATGCTTTATTATTCAGCTCCAGCCCCGCCCTTCACAATAAGAGACATTAGCTGATTAAATACTAAAGAACGAACAACCTAAAAATAACAAGTAAACATTTCTTGAACACGCTACAATATAATCATTATATTTGTTGTATTTCAGTTCTACGAGTATTGTAATAATGCTCTTTTTCATCGTTAAGATCTGATTTAAAAGAAAAGGGTTTGTTATTTGAAATGCCCAATAGAAAAATGATCCAGTCAGGATTTATTTTCTCTGTGGTGTTTACACAAAGACAACAAATGGGTGGGGGCTTGGTATTTGTATGTCATTGTCATTTGTATGTCATGTTTTTTTTTTATTTATTTACTTTTTAAAAGTCCCCTGACTTCTTGCTCCTGGAAGCAGGGCAGAGAGAGGAGCTGCAGATGATGCGCTCTTCGGCCAAAACAAACAGACACTCTCGGGTCGAAGTTCAGTTCCACCGACAGTGGGAGAGACTAGCTTTTAGCTTTGCAGCAAATTTGGGCCTAAATTTGAAATTTCTGTTTATATTTGTGGCGTATTTTGATGCCTGTGAGAACAGCAGCCGGCTACTTTGGCAAACAACGCACGTTGGACTTCAGTCACAGCATGTAAGTAACAGACGTGACCGGTGTTTTGATTTGAGGTCTGGGGTTGAAGGATTATTACAAGTGCTCAAATGTTGTTCATGGAAGTGTGCAGTTCAAGTGGTCTTATCAAATCACATCCTTCTTAACTTTGTGTTGGACGTTGAACTTTCAAACTTTGCAAAGGATTCTGATTGGTTTAGTAGCTGAACTGGGAATAAAACAGTGATCTGTCCAAAGCAGAGTTGACTGTCTCCTCAGCTTTGCACACTGCTTGCTTGTCTTAAGCAAGTGGAGCATAAGAGCTTCTCTGAATGGTTGGACTGAAAGTTTGTCAGTTTGTGCCAGTAGCATGAAGACTGTGTATGTGTTGACTGATTTCGCATTGTTTTGTTCTTCCATCACTAAGATTACTTTGGAATGAAGATGCTGCCGAAACTGTCATCCAGTTTGTGGCGCTGTATTTCAACTTCATCTTCCTGCATGTCTGGCAAATATGGTAAACTTCACTGCACATAAATATTCTTCCCAAAAGATATATATATGTGTGTGTGTGTGTGTGTACACACGTTAGTTTGCCATCAACAATCACTTATCTGTGAACCAGCTGAACTGTAGGCTATAGGGATGTGCTATCTTCCACAGATAGGCTGTTTAAAGTTCACCCCACTGTGCACGAGGCTCTGGCTGAACACCGGCCTGTGGTGGCTCTGGAGAGTACCATCATCACACATGGCATGCCTTACCCTCACAACTTGAGGTAGAAAAGGCCAAGCACAACACAACTCTTCTCCTCCACTGATTTATTCTGCATATATACATATTGCTCAGCAAGTTTTCCTTTACACAGTCTCTACATATTTAACCTTTGTGTGGTGTTGATGTTGTTACTCAGTGGTCTGGTGGACCCACCGCATTATTTTTTTTAAATCAATACAGTACAGCCATAACAATTTGTAAAAATACCAGATGTGTAAAATATAACAAGAGGCCAGCGTAGGGTTCTCCTTTAGCAGCTGTAGCCAGTCAGCAGCCTGTCCATGTTGTCCACCCTCACACACACACACACACATATACAAACAGATGCGCACACACACACAAACACACTAACAGCAGGCCATGTAGGAGGAGAACAGAGTGAAGGACACAGCACCTCCACACTTTTATTCCCTGCGGGTTCACCTCAACACCACATGTGTAATATAAATGTGTGGGGGGTGAACAGTGTGAAGTCACTGAAAATGTGTTACTTTATATGCTCTTCACAGAAAATGAGCAAAGGCCAAGGAATCTGAGGTTGAAATAATAATAAATCACATCATTTTTTCTTTTGGTAAACATTGAAAATGGATCCCACAGACACCAACACCACAAAAGGGTTAATAGATTTTATATGTGAACAAGGTGCTCAGTCCACTTAAATGGATCTGGGAATGCCTGGATCTGGATCAGTCTGCAAACTGTGTTTCAGCACAAATTCAGCCCTGCCAGTTAGCATCATGCAAATTGCATACCTAAACGCCAAATCATTTGACTCAAACTGCATTAAGTATCTATTAGCCTTGATTTTGTTATTTCTAGCACTGTAAAATGGACAAACTCAGGCTAAATTCAAGCTTCATGATAGCTGTTACTAATGTTTTAGCAAAGCAATGTACTTCAGGCCATTTTAACAGATAACAATATGTCATACAGAGTCATGAACCACATAACTCAATGTGCTTTTATGCAAGTTTGATTTAGGCATGCTGTTTGTATATCTAATTGGTGGGTATAGACTTCCACTACATTAGCAACATTAGTCTCATAGCTCCAGTGAAAAGCTTAACAAGCAAATCTGGAGCAACAGATGTATTGATTGGTGGACGTGTGGGGAAATGAGGGAGTTGTGTGTATTTGATTTTCTGCTTTAAACTCTGTGGAATAAGTGGTCTGTTTTTAGCACAGCCAAAGAGGTGGAGGCCATCGTGAGGGCTGAGGGGGCAACTCCAGCTACTGTAGGAGTTTTGGAAGGCACTGTTCATGTAGGCTTATCTCCAGAGGAGCTGGACTTCCTGGCTCGCAGTAAAACGGCCCTTAAGGTGTCCAGGAGAGACTTGCCGTATGTTATCAGCAAGGTGAAAATTAATACATAGCTTTTCTGCTTATCGTAGATAGAGTGTGGATGTGAATGTGAGTAATATGTGACTGAATCAGTAGGGTTTGTCTGGAGGCACCACCGTCTCAGGCACAATGATCGCAGCCCACAGAGCAGGGATTCCTGTGTTTGTGACTGGAGGAATTGGTGGAGTGCACAGAGATGGAGAGAACTGTAAGTCACACTGATACTATTGTTTAAATATAACAGTAGATAGAAATAAATATACTTTAAGCATGTTCGTACTATCGTTCTATATATTATACCTGAAAAAATGGTAACTTTTCAAGAAAAGAAAAAATGTGATTAATGTTAAATATAATTTAATGAAACAAGATTTTATTCCAAGTAATTTGGGGTCATTTCTATCGATCCATTAAACCTGAAATAGTCTGACAATGTAAAGAACAGCTGGCTTTTTCAAATGATGGAATAAAAAAAATAGTTACAAGGTTTTGGTTATGACAGAAACAGTATATCATATGAGATCTTTTATAGGTAATGGTATTTTTAATGCTAAACGTATGCACAACCCACTGTATTCTGTATAAGCTAATAGGTAACAATGACTGTTGTTATTTTTAAAGATTAATAAATTAATGTTCCTCGCAGCTCTGGATGTTAGCACGGATCTGACCGAACTGGGCCGCACTCCCATCGCTGTGGTGTCCGCTGGTGTGAAGTCCATTCTGGACATTGGCCGCACCCTGGAGTTCTTGGTCAGTGATCAAGTGAAACTATTAACTAAGTGAAACTGACATCTATTGTCAGGCAAAATTCATATTATTATTGTAATAAATTGCACAGAAGTGATTTCAGTAATTCCATAATGATAAATATCAATGGTGACATCATCTCTTTAATGCTGTATTCTTAGGAAACTCAGGGGGTCTGTGTAGCCACTTATGGAAAGTCAAAGAGTTTCCCAGCCTTCTTCTCTACCCAGAGTGGATTCATATCTCCATACAATGTCCTCAACGCCGAAGAGGCAGCAAGCCTTATTGGTAAGTTTGAAAGAAAAATCCTCTTTCTTATAATTTCTGATTTGTTGTTATTGAATGCAAAGTGCAGTCTTTACTTAATGAATTCAGTGATGTAAACGACTGCCTAAAGTTTCTGTATCATTTACCGAACCAGTCTGGTATCACTGAATACCTGTTTTTTGGTGTCTTCACCTGCAGATTAAGACTAAGGCAACTTTTTTTTCTGTCCACAGCAAGCACTCTGTCTCTGGGCCTGCAGAGTGGAGTCCTGCTGGCCGTGCCCATACCAGAAGAGCATGCTGCTGCTGGACAGCAGATCGAGTGTGCTATACAGGTTGCAGTGGACGAGGCCAGGTAACCCAGCATCCTGGGGAAAACAAATGGTGGTTTCTCTCACTCTTAGGGCTTGTTTACGCATTGCATTAAATGTGTTTCATGTCGGTATCATATCTGGATATGGTTGCTGTTAGAACAATACCTTGTATCTCCAAAATGGTAATTTTTCAGACGAGAGAAAAACATTTTCACTGAAGCTAATGCAGCAGCTGTCTATTCTGTGCTATTTTGCAGCATTTCTATTGGTCCATTCATCATGAAAATCAGATACAATGTAAAAGGCAGCTTGCATTTTCAAATTATGACAAAAGATAAAAACCAAAAAAAACTTTTGTCCCAGCAGTGATGATATACGTTTGGCCAGATTAAATAAACGTTCATTCCCAATGTGGCCAGATAGGATGATTTTACTTTCCTCCGTAAAAGTGCGGCACATACATTGCTTATATTTTAATTCTGTTGACATTTTCTGCTTGTTATGAATTGGCTTGGACTATTTCATTGACCCAGGTGTGCAAGAAGACACTTGTGCCCAAACAAAATCTCCCGTCTTCTCCAGACTTGCAGCATTTCCTTTTTTATCTTCTTTTGCTTTAAGTCTGCTGCTAGTCAGCACTTAGCACATGCATTTCCACTTATGCCACTGTATGCAGGTATAAAAATGAAATTACCATCTCCAAATGTGGTTTGAGTGATCCAATTGTGTCCTGGGTGTGTTTACACCTGTTTTTTCATGCAGTCAAATGAAATTTGAACATGATCCTATCACTAAACATGCATGTTGATAAACAACCTCTTAAACCATATTCGCTACATTTAACAAGGGTGAATGGCAACATATTTAAAGGGGCCATATCATGGTGAACCAAATTCCCGTTACATTTTTGAAATAAAGGAGTTGAATGTAATATGTAAAAAATGTTTCAAAGTTTCAAAACATATCATTCACTTCCCAGTCCATACAGTCCGTATATAGAAACCAAGCTAAAAAAAAAAGCAGCCCATTTTGAACTTGTTGTTTGTGTGATGTCATGAGAACCAACTTACATGCACCTGTTCAGCCTACAGCAGTGCAGCCCCACCTATTCATACTGGTTCAAAAACCCTGGTACAAACCCTAAGTCTAGTAATGTAAAACTGATGTTTATTTATGAAATGTAGTCAAGACTGGGCTTTATGTACTTTCAAAGGTCTTTTAAGGTTAGGATTAGGCCTTAACATGGCCCAAGAAATCGGATGTCATGAGATTAATAGTCAGAGATAACAATAAATCGATATGACACAGAGCACATGCCCATGTCAAAATCATGTTCTGTATGTTCTCCACAGGCTTAAAGGAATCAGAGGAAGAGATGTGACCCCTTTCATCCTGCAGAGAGTCAGTGAGCTCACTGAGGGCCAGTCCCTCCAAGCCAGTATCCATCAAAGACTTTGCTAATCTGTCACATACAATTTTGATAATTATGTATCTCCATGTATTATTCTTTCTTAGACTGAGAACCTTTTTTAAAGGACCATTTCTGTGAGTGAGATGTGGAAGTGTGAAAGACATTTTTAAAGAACCTCCATGTAAAACAAAAGTTCCTCACCAAATAAATGTTTTTTCCTAGAATCATACACACATTAAAAAAGGTGCAACAAAGGGTTCTTTGAGCAATGCCACAGAAGAACCACTTTTGGTTCCCTAAAGAACCATGTTTCAAAAAGATTTGTAAGTGTGAAAAAACTTTTGAAGGTTAAAGAACCTTCACATATTGGAACGATTTAAGGGTTCTTTCTAAAGTTGTGTAAACTTTAAAAAGGTTCTTAAGACAAAAGTGGTTCTCTAGAGAATCATCCATTGAAAGGTTCTGTAAGGAACCAAAAGTGCTACCTCTAAAATGTTACAAAAAGAACCCTTTTTTGGCATCTTAATTTTTTTAATTGTACATAAACAATTTAAGAACCTTGTTTTGAGCATAAGTAAGATTTTCCTTAACTTGTCTCTCCCTTAGACATAGCTCTCATTCATAACAACGCAAAGGTGGGCAGTCAGATAGCTTGTGCCCTTTCAGAGCGCATGAAGAAATGTCAGAGCGGTCCCAGAGGAAGCAGTAAGACGCAGGAGGAGAAGAACCAGCCCTCAAAATCTAAACCTGTATGTAGGATCCAAAGCCAGTTCACACAAATGACACACAAAAATGGTGGGGTCTTATTACAAGTATAGTATAAAACATTTGCACAGATCGATTTGGTCTTAAAATGATCACGTGTGAAAATTCACCTGTATGTAAAGATTTATAACATGTAAATTTGATGTGAAAATGATCACTGAACATTTTTTTTTGTAAATCAGTCAAAGGCAAGTGCTGAGAACTTAAGAAGTTTATGAAAGTGACTTTAGGTGTTGCCTTCAGTGTGTCTAAAATCTGATTCCATTGTGTCTTCTACAGGTTGTCATTGGTGGTGTGAATGTTGACTTCATTGCTAAAGGAACAACACAGAAGTTACTGGTATGGTTATAGATGTTCATGGAAATTCCATGCTGAATGTGTCCATGGGACTTGGATTTTTTATTAAGTCATGAACTTCTGTACAAACTGCTGTGTTAAAATTAAATTCCCTACAGAAAACTGTTTGTATTTATTTCAGTTTGGGCAGACAAATCCAGGAAACGTGTGCCAGTCCTTTGGGGGAGTTGGTAGGAATATCGCAGGTAACTCATAAGTCTCTTTACAGTGCTGTTCAGAGTCCATCTATTTTGTGTAGTACAGAAAATCTTTATTCTTCTTTCTATTCCAATTCTGTGCTTATAAGACTGTCTGAGCAGGCTGGGCCACAAACCTCTCTTCATCTCAGCCATTGGAACAGATTCTCATAGTGATGCTGTGCTCAACTACTGTAAGCATATGGTAAGTAATGTGTGATGATGATGATGATGATGATGCTGGACAGGCCATGTCCATAAATAATTTGGGTGCATAGAGTCTCAAATTCCATCATTCAGTTCAGTGGGGGGTGGAGAGTGGTTTACATTTGGAAAAATGGTGTTTTGGCCAGAATACATGCATAATTTATTGAAATATTATTACAATTGATGGAGCGGCACAGTGGTGAAGTAGGTAGTGCTGTCACCTCACAGCAAGAAAATTGGACATGCTAAATTGCCCCTTGGGGTGAGTGTGTGTGAATGTGTATGTCTGTGTGTCTGCCCTGTGATGGACTGGCGGCCTGTCCAGGGTTTCCTGTCCTCTGTCTTTTACTGTGAAAAATTACATCACGATAGGCTTCTCTGTGCATTATGTGGTTATCGTGAGTACTCAAACAATGCTGACCTACTGCATGTTTCATTATAAAGAGAGCATAATCGGGCTGTTTAACTGGATTTAGTGCAGCACAGTAAGTGAGACTGTGGCACTGTTGGTCTGTTCATACTTATCAAACCTTGAAAATAAATGAAATATTGTGATGCATTGTTCACTGCTGCTCATTTAATCCAAATTTGTCTGTAGATAGATCTCAGTAAAACTGGTCTCTTGCCTGAAAACTGTGCAAAGATAAGCAATACTGAACTCTCTTCTGTGTTCATCAGAACACCAGTGCAGTCGCGAGGTTGCAGGGTCAGAGGACTGCCACCTACTGCGCTGTGATCACAGAGAGTGGAGAGCTGAGTCTCGGACTGGGGGACATGGACATCCACCAGCAAATCAAAGAGCAGTATGTGAGTGTCTTTTCTGCCATTGAGGGAAAGCCACAGTAATGCTTTTCACTGAAGTGTTGTTACCAACATGGCAGAAACTGACAGTACAAATTGTTTGCAACAGCTGCAGTTAGGAGTTTAAATGATGTTTCAGCCAAACATCAAATTTACACCTTACCCCAAATGTAGTCAACTGACCAAGACATGTTTGATTTCTGAAGGCTGCGTCTAATTCTGTACTAGCGCTACGAGGCCAAAGTAGCTATCTGGTCCTAATGGATGCTTATGTGCCTAAATTGCACACAGTGTGTCAAGTTGTTAAGTAATCTCAAACAGACCTGCTTATGTGGTTTCTGACCCTGTATGACAGTGGTCACCTACCCTCCTCCTGGAGAACTACCTTCCTAAAGAGTTTTGTTCCAACCTGCGTCGAACATGCTGTCTCCCTCCTAGTTAAACTAATCCTTCTGATCCATCCACTCAAGGACTTCTGAAGAAGTTCATTAGCTGGAACAGGTTTGGCACATTGTGGTTGGTTCTAGACTCCGCAGGAAGGTAGATCTCCAGGACCAGGGTTGGTGACCACTGCTGTACGAAATACTGTTAACTATAAAAACTGACTAAAGTGCGGCCCAAATTCAGACGTGAAGGTGGCTGCTTCTACTATTTTTATCTATGTGACAAACTTTTGACTTTTTACTTTTAAAGGAGGCATAAAAAATAGCTTACTGTATCTACCATCCAAGAAACTGTTAACGAAGCAACGTGTTTTGGCTGATTGACTACATTTGTGGTAAGAGGGAAATGGTGAAAACTGTATTTTCATACTACCACTTTTATGGCCAATTTGCCAGAGCCAGGGTCAATGTATGAGGGAGAAATAAGGCCTAAATGTAAATGCTGTGCAGGTTTCCCAGTATGAGGAGCAGCTGCGCTCAGCATCTCTTGTGGTTCTTGATGGGAACATTCCTGTTTCTACCATCGACTATGTCTGCAGCCTTGCCAAGAAACATTCAGTCCCAGGTACATCCACAGCTATTGAGAGACTGAATGCTCAGATCTTCAGCCCACGGCTGTGCGTCATCCACGGTGTGTGTGTGTTTGTGTGTGTGTGTTTGTTTCAGTGTGGTATGAGCCCACTGATGCCGATAAGGCCTGTAAGCCCTTCCTGTCAGACAGCTGGAAGGATCTCTCCTACACGTCCCCCAACCTGGCAGAATTGTGCACCATGAGCCGCACTCTTCACCTGCCTACTCCAGAAGGTAATCATAAATAACAATGTTTGATTTCCATAGCAACAAACAAACTACACAGGGGAAAAAAACATTGAATTAAAATGCACCAAAGTTTAGTAAAATGAAAAACAGTGTTGGTACAGCAAGGACCACAGATTTACTCCCCTCCACTAAACACAGGCCCATCATTCTGCTGTCGACTCACACAAAGCACCACAGACAAAGACAGTGCTCAAAAACATTAGCCAGTCTCAAATCATCTTATGAAAAGAGAGACGGGATCATGCACTCCAGCTAATACAGGAAATGAGTCATCGCTCGCTTTTGTGTGTGTTCCTGACTGTGAGTCAAGAGCAGCGCTGTGAATTACAGCAGTGCAAGCAGCAAACTCTTCATTATCAGTTTGCTCTGATCATTTGGGCCTGATAACTCTGTACCTCATGTGCCTTGATAAGCTTAGCACTTTTAAGAACACGCATTTCATTTTGTTATAATACTGTAGGTGTGAAAAACATTTTTAACAGAACATTACACAGAAGTCTCAATAACTAATTTGAATTTCAGATTATTCAGTATTTAGTGTGTTCACCCTGGCCTTTATTACAGCTTCCATTCTTTTCGCTTTCAGTTTTTCATATAATCTGCAGGGATATTTTTCCACACTGGTAAAGTTCAGTGTTAGAAGTTGGTTGCATTTTCTGTTTCTCATGATCCGAGTAATCCCAAATACATTCAGTGATGCTGAGGTTTGAACTCTGTCCACTACAGCTACAGCTACACATCCTTGCATGCTCATAGTGTTGAGTTGTCTTCTCACAGTAGAAGGATGGACAGAAACACCTGTGGATTTTTTTCAGATCTGAAGCAAGATTGGAGCTTGATTTTCTCCTCTCTCTCAAAGATGAAAGCTTTAAGTGCCGTTTATCTGATTGTGAAAGTTTTGGTGGTTTACCAGGTCTTGCGTGATTGTCCGGAGTCTCACTTTCTCTGTATCTTCTAATTATTTTCTGAACTCCGCTTTTGGAAACTCATGTTTTTCGCTTACTTTCTTACTTAAGTGGATTATTTTATATCTTCTCAGAAATCTCTCCTGAAAATGAATGACTTGCACATACTGGCCGTTCTCACTGGAAACTGAATGAACGAAAGTGTAGTATCTGACTTCTTTAGGGTACGGTATGCTTATTAGAGGGAGTAAGCCTGTGGTCTTTGTTGTACCTCCACAGTTCTACCAAACTCTCTTGAGGATGTGCTGAGCTGTGCAGCAGCTCTTACCCGCCCCCTGCTGGAGCACCTGTGTTGTGTGGTAGTGACACTGGGCGCGTTGGGGGTCTTGGTGTGTGGAGAGCATGAAGCTGGAACAGTCAGTCTGCGACCGCAAAAGCACAGACGGGTATGGAAGATTCCTTAAAGTATTTCACATTTGACTCATCATAAATTGTGTCTTTTTGATGCTTGAATCTAGAATTCAAGATAAGGGCATAATAATGTAGGATATAGATGGAACAGATAGAATATTGAACATTTTCTTTCCATATATCTATGGATATGTTTTATAGACAGAAAATGTGCTTATTTTGAAGGAATAACGGCAGTGGCAACAAAAGGACAACGCAAATGTACGTACATAAAAGTATAGAAATGTACAGAATTTAGAAGACTTGCAATAGACTTAAACAGCACTATCATTAAAAATATGCATGTTTGAAAGCAGGTGGATATTTACCTACATTCCCAGAAAAAAAAGGTAGGAAACTGTCCCTGGGGCAGTACCCCTCTTGTCACTGGGGTGAGACCCTCAAGGGTACATCTCAGTACCTTTAGTCAGGGAACATAATTGTACCATAATCCACTGAAGTTATATTTTCTAAGATGTACTGACTCCACACGCCCCGTCTCAACTCCAGACTTTTTATTTTATTGTTCTGTTTTAAAACATTAGGTTATGAAAAGGTACAAATATGTACTTTTCACCTGGAAAAACTTATTTAAGGTACCCAATTGCACCTTAAAACCACTGTTTTACTTTTGAAGGAACATTTACGTTGTTTGTACCTTGGTGAACGAAAAACGTACCTGCACAGCACCTTTATTTCTAACAGTGTATGGTGCAAATGAGGTAGTCTTAATGAGATTTTTAAAAATGTGCACATAAGTATTATACCTCCTTATGAACCTGAGATAATAGCAGAATAACAACACTAGTTTATATAACAACTGGGTATGTTATATTCAGTGCCAGGTGTGATATATACAGCACCTAAGTAAAAGCACTGCCTGTAAAGAGGAGGTATGCCTGCTGTGTTTTCTGTGAGTATGGGCACTGAGAAGAACATGCGCTGGTTATTCTTGTGTAGAAAGGAAGACTGTGTGCTGTGTACTATCCGGCACTGGCAGTTCGTTCTGAGGAGACGGTGAATGTGTCTGGAGCTGGAGACAGGTACGTCACTCCAAACCTCCTACTTTCACTCATCTGTTTACTCTCCCTTTTTTCCTGGTGCAGTAGCCTTGTTCGTCTCTGTCACCACCTCTCTCTTTTGCACACTCTATTATTCGTTTTTTCTCTATTGCCACTCAAACACAAAAACACTTTTGTTCATTCTTTTTCTTTCTCTCTCTCTCTCTCTCTCTCTCTCACTCGCACACTTTTTCTTTTTCTCTCTCCTTCTTGCTCTCTCTTGCACACTTTTTTCTTGTCTCTTTCTTTCACTCGTGCTCTTTCTCTCTCGCTCAGCCTTGCAGGTGGACTGATGGCAGGGATTCTGAAGGGGAAGGATATGGACAGCTGTGTGCACATGGGCCTCCTCGCTGCACGGCTCTCACTTTTCTCTCCTCACCCCATCGCCCCATCTCTGAGTGCTGACGCTGTCCAGCCTGAGAGGGCTCATTCTCAGCCATGGCCCAAGCCCACCTGCCTGTGGATAGACTCCTAATAGACTGAGCTGTTACAATAATTATATAAAAAAAGGATGGAGACAGAGTAGTACAGATATGAACTTTTGTATGTGATTACATTTTCAGCTAATCTACTATCTGCATTTTTTAACCTGTTGTTGACTTACAAACTTTAGTACATAATATCATTTCTGCGGTTTAAGCAAGAGTTGTTTTTCAAGTCTACGTCATGCATTATGTTACGTTTTACACAGTTGTACTTACAGTAATGAATTGCTCTTGGATTCAGCTGGCTGTTTAGCCAAGCAGGTCTGTGGCACCGGCTGACATGCTCCACTTACTGGTCACTCATCATTTTAATGCTACTGTAATAGCTGTTTTTTCCAGAAGACACATTGGGTCACACTTTGGAAACCTTCTCCACAGAGAATACTTTTAAGTAAATTAATTACATCCAATTAAAATTTTACAGTTTTAAATTTACAGCATTTTTTTAAATAATAGAGACCAACCTGGTCCTAGAATTACTTCTGCACTGCAAAATTTGATATTTCCCTACACTAACACAACCATTTTATTCTCATAAAGGGCTTTTGATAGCCAGAGTGCAGCAGGAATTCAAGGCCAGGGTTCGTAATCACGGAATTAACACATTTTCCAATAATTATGTAAAATAAAAATCTTTTCATACCAATTTTAATTGTTCTTTTTTTAATTATTTTGGATAATATTGTTTGCGTGGTGTTTTCCCTCACCTTCAGATAAATAAAATATAACAATTAAACCTGCTTGTTAAACCTTATCTATGTCCAAGTTTAGTGAATCGCTTCTGACTCGCTTTGTAAGTACCTTGAGCACATCACTAACTGGATGGGACAAAACTTTCTGCAGTTGAATGAAGACAAAGCAGAGAATATTTTATTTGGGAATGGCAATGAGAGGCATAGACTAGCTGCCTATCTGGACTTGAGAGATCTAGCACATTACCTTGGTGTACCAATAGACTCTGATCTTAGTTTTAGCAGTCATGTCAAAGCAGTTACTAAAAAAGCATTTCATCACCTTAACAACATCAACAAGATCAGAGATTTTTTCACTCAACTGGACGTGGAGAAACTCATCCACACTTTTATTTCTAGTACAATTGATTATGCAATGGTCTCCTAACTGGATTCCCAAAAAAGACAAACAGCTTCAACTGATTCAAAATGCAGCTACCAGAGTCTTACTAGGAGTAAGAGAAGGGAAAATATCACCCCCATTCTTAAACCCTTACACTGTGTTACAGAATAGACTTTAAGGTGCTAATACTGGTCTTTAAATGGCTGACTTCAGTAGGCCCAGCATATTTATCTGATATACTGCAGCGATATGAGCCAAGCAGAACTCTCAGATCATTAGGAACTAGTCAGTTAGTCCTGCCGAAGGTAAAGACCAAATAGTAGCGTTAGTGTTTAGCTAATATGCTTCTCTTAAATGGATTTCAGCTTTCAGCTCAGTTTAAAACACAGTTACTCTACTGCACTTCTCTCCACTAAAAGCACTTTACTCTCATAATTTAATGTTTTGTTTGTTTTTTAAATTAATGTTTATTTCTTCTTTTTTAAATCTATTGTTCATGATGCTTTAATCATGTCTTTCATTTCTATTCTCCTGCATCTTTTTAAAATTTAATTTGAATTATCTTTTGTATTTTCTTGTTTGTAAAGCACTTTAAATGACCGCAGTATAGGAAATGCGCTATTTAAATAGACTTGCCTTGGCTTGCCTCGCCTCAAGATTCAGGACTACATCCCCCACAATGCATTTCCGTCCCGTTTGCGCAAACTCAGTGAATGCTGAATGGCTACTGTATTCCCTCCTCCTCATTTCAATGTAAGATGGTGGTGAGAAGCTGCTGTCTAAAGAAACACTTAGATTGAAAAAGAAAACGTCGAGCCAACAGTTTAAAAGCAGAGCTGAGCAGGTCAGCGTTTGAAAGTGTAGGCTGGAGGGAATCCGAGCTGCTCAGAGGCTTTAACTTCCGCCCCAAACAAATCTTTTCGCGAATATCTCTGGAGTGGAATTCCCTGCATTTGGAAAGCTAAAGTGAGTAGCAATAAAACCATCTAGGTGCAGGTGTGCCGAAAATAAATGTCTTTAATATAGTTATGTGGATGGTTTAAATACGTCACGTCTCATGTTATTGTAAACTGGGAGTGGAAGTGGAGAGGGGGAGGCTGACAAAGCTACAGGCAGCGACCCCCTTCGCTAGAGCCGGGCAGGTCAGTAGGAGAGTCGCAGGCTCTGGGCCAGTGTAGGCCGCGCTATTACAATACTCATCAGACAGATAAATAAAAGAAAATATTTAGGGCAAATTTCACGTTATTAGTCGGACATTTATTTCGATGTGCTACACGCTCTGTTGTACTGTGTTGGTGACTATGAATGGGTTGAAAACAGTCGTTTAGCGGCTGTGTTTTTGTGTTTTGTCGCCGCTCGACAGTTCCAGCTCGGTCCCGGCTGGTGGAGCAGCTGACCGGCTTTTAGCATCTCGACTGCCGCCAGCCCGTAAAGCTGAGCCGCAGCAGCTCCTGCTTCTTTTGTTATCCTTCAGCGATGCGGCTGAAGTGTCAGAGCGTTTGTTTAGTATTTTGGAAAAATTATAAATAAGATGCTACTCTCCGAATCTGTTTCCTCCTAGCGCCCATCTGCCATTTGCGTTGGCGTTATTTGTGGTTTGACTCCAGTAGTTTTCATGTTGGAGGAGCAGGATGTGTATCACATACAGGATGTCAGATGTGAATGATTTCATGTCAGGATTTCTGATGCAATCTTGGGGGTTTTATGACTGATGGCCGAGTTGTTTTACAGTGGACAGTGTTTCTAGAGATTTGCGTTAAATGTTCAGTTCCAGGGGTTGACTTGAAACATCATATACGTAGCTATTTGTGGAGACTTAACGTTACATGCAAGTTGCAAGGGCCACAGGTTACATTGCTTTGCGAAAAAACTCACTGTTTACATGCAGAAACGTTGACATTTGGAATGCGAAAATGTGTCGTTATTGTATGTCAGTGGTCAGAATCAATTCTTTTCTATCAATATTTTGGACAGATCAGTGTTGGGAGTAGAAACCTGTTTTACCCGAGGCTTCTGATACTTGCTATCGATACATTTGTATAGTGTGGAATCATTCTAGACTTTTTCCACAGTAAATATGAGGAAATACGAATTTGGTGAGGAATGTGACAGCATCACTAAACGTACATAACCAGTAAGCAATGACATGGTGCTCCTCCACCAAAAGCCTTACTAACAGATAGATAGAATACATACTTATATTAATCTTTGTGTTTACTAATTAACATTTCAGTGTAGATTCACAGATTCCCTAAAAGAAATTCCCTAAAAAAGTCATCAACATCAACATATAGATATATAGGCTGTTATTTTCAAGAGTGTCGTCATTAGATGAGTTTTTAGAAGGTATTTAGGCTAGAGACTGTTACAACTTATGATAATCTCATGTTGTTCTAAGATGGTGCTTTGTTTAAATGTGGTAGTCACTAGTTATGATGTATTCAAGGATTAAGAATTACGTCTTTATCAATAGGTTGAAGGTCATGTCATCATAAAGGCTTCCTCACTTCTTAAAGCAGCAACAGTTCTGGATAAAATGTCACCCTATCTTCTAACACACTTTCTAAATCTCTCCTGATTTATACCTGATTGCTTCTCCCAGCTCCTGTTTTGGTTAATTGCTGTGGTCGGAGACTCTACTGTACCAGTGCAATAGGATGTCCCGTAGTCCCGAGCTGAAGGAAGACCCTATGGAGTGTCCTCTGTGCATGGAACCGCTCGAGATTGACGACGTCAACTTCTTCCCATGCACCTGCGGCTACCAAATCTGCCGTTTCTGCTGGCACCGCATTCGGACAGACGAGAATGGCCTCTGCCCAGCCTGTAGAAAGGTACAGCGCTACTGACTAGCACACTGCTGGTACTGTCCAGGGACTTTTAGCTTATTCCATTAATAGACGTGTCTGAAATCGCATCATTTTTGCTCTTTAGAGTTACTTTAGAGAGTACACTGTGATTCAAATGCAGACAAATTACTTTGACACCCAGGTGAGGCTTGGTCAACATGATGTGGTTAATAATTTTCATATTTCTACACCACTACTCATATCACTATGACTTGATTTTGTTTTATGGGGCTGTTTAAAGAGTGTTACACATTGGTGTAGGATTTACTAGCTGAGTGATTGCTCTGTGTGTGATGTAGCCATACCCGGAAGACCCGGCTGTATACAAGCCCCTGTCACAGGAGGAGATCCAGAGGATAAAGAACGAAAAGAAGCAGAAGCAGAATGAGAAGAAGCAGAAGGTGACTGAGAACCGTAAGCACTTGGCTAGTGTCCGTGTGGTGCAGCGGAATCTAGTGTTTGTGGTGGGACTCTCGCAGAGGCTCGCGGACCCGGAGGTGAGAAGCATTATTTGACAGTTCCCTGCTCACTACAGCTGTGTCAGTGATTGTTAAGTTTTACTCTCAAAGAAGGGGAGGTTGCTGTATTACATATATTTTGGGACACATTCATATTGCTGGAACAGGAAGATAACAGTGTGCTTGGATTATAACACCAGTTACCGCCACTAATGTTGTGTATAGGAAGTAAGTAGTTGTGTATTCTCTGCAATGTTGTGATTTGGAATGCACAATGTTTTCATGAAATAGAAAGTAACATTTCTGTATGTATAGATATTACTTTGGTTGTGTAATGCACATTGTCAGGTCCAGTAAACAATACGCTTTTCAGTATTGTTTCATAATGTCTCAAAGAATTGTGGGTTGTGAATGTGGACGTCAAGTCACAGATTTCAGCATCAGTGCTGAGTCATTTCTTGAGGATTTTAAGATCTGCTCCTTTGGGGACATACTCACCACTAGTTGGAGATGTGAAGAAAATCGCAAACAGAGGCAGTGTGGAAAGGGTTAGGGCTGATGGACATGGGTGTTCTGGACTAAGGCTACCATGATCAGTGTATCATTTACTTGCTCTGTCATGTTCATATAGTACTTGTGGCCATTCTGATAAATTGCAGTACACTTCAGAAAGCACTGAGGGTAAACTTGGGTGAGTGTAAATTTAGACAATTATCATCTGCATTGTCAGTAACTGAGCTAGCTCTAATATTGCTTAATAACTTAGAATGATAACCATATTCTGTATAGATGGCATGTAACACTGTTAAGATCCAGCAGTTCTCTGTGTTCATTTGGTTGGAAACCGAAATATTCTGGACAAGCTTGTCCATTTTACTTTCTACCGGAGAGTGGAACTTATGTCCCAGGGTTTTCTTCTTTTCATTTGAATGTATCCCAGCAATCAGATCAAGTGACGTTCAAAATATATACACTGATCAGGCATAACATTATGACCACCTACTTGTTTCTACGCTTGTTGTCCATTTTAGCAGCTCCACTTACTATGTAGGTGCAATTTGTAGTTCTACAGTTACAGAATGTAGTCCTTCTGTTTCTCTGCATACTTTGTTAGCCCCCTTTTACCCTGTTCTTCAGTGGTCAGGACCCCCATGGACCCTCACAGAGCAGGTACTATTTGGGTGGTGGATCATTCTCAGCACTGCAGTAACTCTGATGTGGTGGTGGTGGTGGTGTGTTAGTGTGTGTTGTGCTGGTACGAGTGGATCAGACACAGCAGTGCTGCTGGAGTTTTTAAACACCTCAGTGTCACTGCTGGACTGAGAATAGTCCATTAACCAAAAATATCCAGTCAACAGCGTCCTGTGACCACCAGTGAAGGACTAGAAGATGATTAGCTCATACTGTACGGCAAAAGATGAGCTATTGTCTCTGGCTTTACATCTACAGGGTGGACCAACAATGCAGGTGTGTCTAATAGAGTGGACAGTGAGTGTTTAAAAACTCCAGCAGCACTGCTGTGTCTGATCCACTCATAGCAGCACAACACACACTAACACACCACCACCACGTCAGTGTTACTGCGGTGTTGAGAATGATCCACCACCCAAATAGTATCTGCTCTGTGAGGGTCCATGGGGTCCTGACCGCTGAAGAACAGGGTAAAAGGGGGCTAACAAAGTGTGCAGAGAAACAGATGGACTACATTCTGTAATTGTAGAACTACAAAGTGCACCTATATAGTAAGTGGAGCTGATAAAATGGACAATGAGTGTAAAAACGAGGAGGTGGTCATAATGTTATGCCTGATCGGTGTATGTGTGTAATTAATCACTGGTGTTTTGTTTGTATATAGCCAATAATTACGTGCAGTCTTATTTATTGTATGCATACCTTTGAACTTACCACAGGTTGGAATGATTAACTATTCTTTGTACAAATAAAAATGAAGCAATAAAAAAATCTTGTAGCGGCTGAAATAGAACGAAAGAACAATAATTAGCATAATATCTGTGCTTATTAACATTATTCTGATATTCAGTAGCGTTAATTATCGACATAAGGTTGGTTGAATAATAGCAGTTCAGTTAGTTGATTAATTAAGCAATAGGTTATTAATCGACTATAAAAAATCATTAGCTGCAGCCCTAGTTAGGATGTCTGAGCAGATGTGCTCATTTCAGATCCAGTGTTGTAGTAGCACTGAGATGCTTTGTGAGTACTAGCCCAGTCAATACAGCTTCATAGTTATAATTTCAGAGACTAAAGGGGACCATGAAGTGACTGTTTTAGCTGGTTCAGATGGGAATAAGGGTTATGCAGTTGCCCAGATACCTTTTGTAGTGTGTCTTAATGAACAAACCGGAATCTGTATTTGTGCTGCTGAGATGCCTTTGCTAAATGTTGGCCAGCAGTTGCCTAAAGTCTTCATCTGTGTGCACATGTCTGCCACAAGTCTGATATCGCATGCAATTAGCACTGTAATGGAAACTGCCACACATGTATGTTACATTCATTTATATTTGTGATAAAGTGCATATAGTGTGTCAGTCACTGTGATAATTGCTACATGGTTAGACTTGTATGCTGTATGGATTAGTGGTTGACGGATCTTTTGATATGTTGTTTTAGAGCGTCTCAGTTCTAGTTAGCTGCTAGTTTGGTATGTCAAAATAGACTCACTGATGTATGTTTATTCTTCAGATTAGGTTCCTCTGTTCAGCCCAACCTATTTAGGTCAGAACTGTATTTGCAGATTTTGATACGAGGGCTACTTAACTGAGTTGGGTTCTGTTGCAGCATTTTAAGTTAACATTAGAAGTTCACAGCTGTTTTCTGTTGTGAGAGTTCTTGAAAACACAACTATAACTGTATTCTCTTTGGAAGGGAATGATGACATAGTTTCTGTTTTTCTCTTTACTAAGCAACATGGCATCCAATCAGATACCTACTTGGTCATGTGGCAGAGCAGCACACTTAGCATGTGCAGCCTTTACTTTCTATAGCCTGGTGCTGCTGAAGTGAGGATTTAATGTACTACTAGATTGAACATTTAAAACAAAATTGACAGGAAAACAGGTCAAATAATTAGAATGGCATGGTTAGTCAAAGATGAGGTTAGTCCAAAAATATATGGGGCTGGTTTCCCAGGTTAAGCCTAGACTATAAAGAATTCACAATAGTGTTTAATCATTAGCCCTGTAAATTAGTCCAAGACGCTTAATCCATATTGGCGAAACAAGCTCAGTGTTGGTTACCTGGACAGAGCCTAGTCCTGGACTGTGTTTTGCTTTCAATGGAGAATCTCCATTCAGAATGCTGTGTGGTCCAGGACTCTTCTTTATTTTCATGTTGTATACATTGAGTTTGTCAGCTTGTTTAGGGATGCACAATGTCGTTATATTTTCTTGATTAGCAAAAATATGGAGCCTCTGAGGATCCCTGAGGACTGGTTTGAGAACCACCGGCTTAAGAGACTAATGCAGTCTTCAGATCATGTTTAGAACATGTTGATTTTCTTTGATGAGATTAGCTGAAATGATTCATGATGATACACGTTGAATCCTAAGTTGTCTTATTGTTTTATAAACTGTACATAATGTAATGAAGACCTAATCTCCTCTTATGCCAATGTTGCAGGTCCTTAAGAGGCCAGAGTATTTTGGAAAGTTTGGCAAAATACATAAAGTGGTCATCAACAATAGCACGTCATATGCAGGCTCACAGGTGAGAAAACTTGCACTAACCAAAAAAGGTGTTGGTACACTTCTGTTTCAGAGAAGTCATACTGAAGTGCACAGCTAAAATAAACTGTTATTTTTTGCTCTATAGGGTCCTAGTGCCAGTGCCTATGTTACTTATGTCCGCTCAGAGGATGCCCTGAGAGCAATACAGTGTGTTAACAATGTGGTAGTCGATGGTAGAACACTTAAGGTGGGTCCAGTATAATAAAAAATTCTGCCATATTTTCATGGGTTCTTCATATCTGTGTGGATTCTATCTCATATCCTTTCGTTTATTGGAAATTATTATGCAGCACCAGTATTAAAGACATTCTGTAAAATTGTTTATATTTTGAAGTGTTGAATATAGAAGTGAAATTTTGTTTGCATGTTTTGTCTCGAAGGCTTCTTTAGGTACAACAAAGTACTGCAGCTATTTTCTGAAAAGCATGCAGTGCCCCAAGCCTGACTGTATGTATCTACATGAACTGGGAGATGAGGCAGCTAGTTTTACTAAAGAGGAAATGCAGGTGAATGCAGAAATATTTTCTTTATATCTTTTATTAAAGCTTCCACTGTTTCCTCTGTTATTATTGTTTTGCAAATTATTGTTTTTGGGATTGCAAATAAAAGAGTTTGTAGTCTTGTAAAATCATGAGGAATACATTTATTTTGATATACAGTTAACATACAATTTTGTATTCATGCTGTTTCTGTAGGCTGGGAAACACCAGGAATATGAGCAGAAACTACTCCAAGATCTTTACAAAATGAATCCCAACTTTCTCCAATCTTCAACATGTGGAGGGGAGAAGATGAAAAACAAAGCAAACGCTACGCAAAGGTGCTTTTTTGTGTTTTATTTTTGCTGTGTTCCTGTATCTCCTGTCCTTAGTGTTGCAGACTCAACAACTGACTAAGAGATTTTCTTTATTATTTATTATTGATTGACTTCATCTGTGAAACTGTCTCATTCACCTCCAACCTATCGTCAGTACTGTTGTCTCTTGCATCCACAGACCAAACAGTAGCAATAAAGAGGGCTGGCCCTTGTTACAGGGCTATGGTAAACTAGTTAATGGTTTACCTACAGAACATCGTAAGTCCCCACCTCTTTTAGACTGTCTGACAGACTCGGATCACCTGACCCCAGATGAACCAGACCCTGAACTAGGAGCAGATCAGAGCACAGGCCTCTCGCCCTTCCCCTCAGCCTTAGAGCCCACCAGGTACACAGCCTCACACAACAAATACAGACTAGGACTACTACTAGTGTGTATTTCTATCATCAAATAACTATTCACCATTCATTTTTTAGATCCTCTAACTTTGCTGCTGCCATCATTCACAGTTCTCTCTGTGCTACAAATGATTTCTTCTTGTATGGTGCGATGAAACAGTAGTCAGTCGTAATGATCATGTCTATTATATGATCACTATAAGGCATTATAGAAAGCTCCACAGTAACAATCATGGTATTTGTAAACTTTGTCTAATCGTTGCAGCACTATTACAAACAATATGACAGTTTTTGCTATGGCTTGGCAGTCATGGCAGGCTGATCACTATCTCATTCAGCTTTTTTGTTGTTTGTTTTAGTCCTGTTGATAAACCAACAGAACCTGTAAGTATAGGGAATGGAGAGAATATACCACAGGTAAGAGCCGCACATACAAGAAATTTAAAACTATTTCTGTGAGGTTGGAGAAATTTCTTATCTAGTGTTTTAATCTTTCTATGTATCAGGTCCCAAGCAGTGACTCACCCTCTCCTCCTCCCGGGCTATCTAAGCCAAGCCTTGTGGTGCCCATCAGTGTCGCTGACTTGACAGCTCGCTCCCCTTTCGAAGGGGCAGCCGCCGAGTCTCAGTCCCTCTTTTCGGACAACAGTAACTTCAGACACCCCAACCCCATCCCCAACAGTCTGCCGTCCTTCCCCAACTCCCCGCAGGGGGGCTCTGATTGGCCTATGACCCCTGAACCACAGAGCCTCTTTGCCTCAGGTACATCCACTCAGAAAGGGCTAAAACAGGGCTAAAAATAGTTTGGCAAAAAGAAATCAAATGCACACAATTTTCCAATGTAGTCGATTAGCCAAGATCTGTTTAGTGTGTTAAGATTGCTTCTTTAGATTTGCACTGGAGCTGTGAGGTTAATTTAGCTAACATGTAATGGAAGCTTATATTCCACCAGCGTCTGCATCCTTAAATCATCACACACTTGCCTTAAGTTGCAATGTTGAGTAATCTCAAATAGACTTGCTTTGTGGGTTTCCCTCTGTATGGCATACTGTTATGTATAAAAATGGACAAAAATATTGCATAGCGAAAAATAGCAGCAGCACCCATCTGGAAGGCTGAATGCTTGTCCCTTCTGTTGCATTTTGAAGCAGGTTATTACATTTCCAGTCTAAGTGTAACAAACACCACAGTGAACAGGGTTAGTAGAGTGAAGCAAATGTGCTTGCATTCATGACTCTCAATGATATTCCATCAAGCTGCATATAATCAACTAAGGAGAAAAATCTTGTGCAGAAGTTGAGTTCTCTTTACCATGTAATATCAAAACTGTTAGCAGTAGCCTTAGCTCATCTGGAAAAGTAGCCTTCATTTATCCATTTATTCATGCATTCATTGAAATTGTCATATAAGACTTTATATTTAATTTCATACAATACTCCCAGTTGCTGCAGAGATGAATTATTGGCCATTGAAAGAGATGGGACTTTTTTTTCTTTGTACTGTTATTTTCCCCACTTTTATTTGAGTTAAGTGGGAGCTAAATTAGGCCTGTAGTTTACACAGTGCCAATTGGTGGGGTTGCAGGTTCCATTATTTCTTAGCTGCATTAGCCTCATAGCTCCAGAGGCAAAAACTTTTTTTTCCCTTTTGGTCAAAGTACAATTTTTAATCCTCAGTTTACTGGTTACAAGAAAGTCTGCCTTCAGTAAGACTAAGCAGACTAGGTGAGTCTGTGCTCCATTCTCATCATTAACTTCATACTTGTCTCTTTCAGACACCATCCCTGTCTCCTCATCCACTGACTGGCAGGCAGCCTTCGGTTTCGGCTCTTCGGCCAAGCAGCAGCAGGACGACGACCTGGGCTTTGATCCCTTCGACGTGACGAGGAAAGCCCTGGCTGACCTCATTGAGAAGGAGCTGTCGGTTCAGGAAGCTTCACCTCGGTCCCCCACTCTCCCGCTCCACCAGCCCAGCCTTCCCAACGGTCAACAGCGTTTCCCCCAGCTACAGCATCGAGGCCTCTACAATTCCTTCAGCTTGCCCCCACACACAGCCTCACGCCATCCTTGGCTGGGCATCCCCACCCGCAATAACCTAACACACTTGAACCATGCGACCAGCGCAGCTGCTGCACATAGTCACTTCCTAGACGTCACCGGCCCTCCCCAGCACCACAACACAGGCCTTGGGGGAATACCTATATCAGGTGAGCTTGCAGCCTATACTTTTAGCACCTCAACACGTGTGAAGGGGCACCTCTGTGTCTTCAGATGATAAATAGATGCACCTGGGCTAGGCACAGCTGTACAGTTGTAACCCACTGATCCAAATACGACATTTTTAACATGTTCCCAGTTCTTTCTTTCTTTGTTTGTTGTTGCATCATTAAGTTGTTATCTTTTTATTCTCTTTTCCTCCTCAGAAAACAACAGCTCAGTGGAAAGCATAAATGTGAAAGAATGGCAGGATGGCCTGAGAGCACTCTTACCGAATATCAATATCAACTTTGGAGGCCTCCCAAACTCTACCTCCTCTTCGTCCTCTTCATCCTCCACTTCCAGCGTGAACCACATTGGGGCGCCAACTGGGTCAGGAGGGGTCTCGCACAGCCTCAGTTGGGACGGCACGGCCAGCTGGATGGACCCTGCCATCATTACCGGTATGCCTCTCTGGTCTTCCAGAATCTTTATGGGTAGCGCAGTGTCAATGAATAGTAGTGCTGAATTTACCACACTGTCAATAGTAGACTACAGTGTATTGTATATAGGGTCTGAATTCATTGCTTACTGAGTTTGGAATTCCGTTGCACTCAAACCTTTTCTGGTCGCATTTGGTGAATAAGCAGTGACTAATAAAATCAGACAAATTTTCTGTTACAGAGGCAGTCTCTTATTATCTTAGGATATGTAGGACCTGTCTGTAGGTCCAGACTTTATTACTCACTCTCATAACTACATATCGTGTTTGTATTGTGCCTCATTTAAAAAGCAGTCTTGAGTGAAACACTCCTTACAGCAGTAACTAGTCTGAATAGGTGTATATATGTAAATCTCATGTTTGCCTGACATTACAAAACCAGTGAATTCAAAACAGGCTTTTTTTCCTAAATATGGACTGTATCAACTTGAGAGTGGGACATTTCGGTACTTCTACAGTGTGTACATACTACATTAACATCAAACTGAAAGAAAAGTGACAGATTCATTCAAATGCAGTTTTCCATTATACGGGCCATTTAACATCAAAACGGTCAAAAATCTTGTGAATAATAAAATGAAACTGTTAAATAGTGAAAGAAAATTAACTTCCTCCCTCGATTCTCCTTTTCTCTCTTATTCTAATTCGTCATTCAAGGTATCCCTGCATCCACGGGTAGCAGTTTGGACTGTCTCCAGGATGACAACCCACCACACTGGCTCAAGTCTTTGCAGACGCTGACAGAGATGGATGGGCCGGGCGGCTCGGTGGCTGCACCCCAGCCCCAGCACACAGGCTTGCTGGATGCGGCGGCCCACCTTTCGCTGCACAGAGCCGGCTGGGCACCCTACCTCCCCACTCCCACACTTGCCCCCAGCCAGTTCCACTCTCCACCACCAGGCTTCCAGACAGCCTTCAGACCTCCAGCGCAGACCGCTACAGACATCCTACAGAGCGCCGGCATGGACCGCCACTAGGGACAGACTCCCCATCCCTCCATCCCTCTTAACTTAACTGTAACGATGCGTGAGGCTGCAGAATATCCTGATCATTAATAACATAACATAAGCTCTTATTCATCTGCCCCCTCTCCTTCCCCTGTTCCCCAACAACCACCCCTTCTTACAGCATTCATTTGTCTGTTTCTTTGAGACTCACTTTATTCGCCGCATAGTGCGTGGAAGGGCACACAGAGCAGGAATAGTGAGGGTGATATTTATGCTGGCTATGCATAAAAAGGCCCCAAACATATATGGTTCTGGAAAAAATTATCATCATTCATGCATAAGCATTTGAGAAAGGGTGAACACACAAAATGGGCATGCACACAGCTAATAATGGTTAAAAAGAATGAGAGTAGTGTTGATGTGTCTCACTCGCCATACATCTGTCCATCCTTGGTTCCCATTCTAATACTGTGAATGTGTTGGTCTACTTAATGAGAACCATTCTGTGAAATCCAGTGGTTCATTTCAGAGGAGTCAGTGCAGTGTACTAGTGTCTTGCCTCAGAAGTCTATGGTGCAAATCTACGCATAAGACTTGATGACCTAATGGTGCATATATAGAGGCCCCCAGTCTCCTGGGGGTGCCAAAGGCCCCCACCCAGCAGGGGGGAGTCACTGCTGTACCTCTGTATCAGAGGATGGAGCGCTGCCCCACTGATGGCTGGGGGCTTTGGGTCCTGACTCATATTTTACTCACTAGTAAGCGATCGGTGGAGGGTTTGAGATGCCACCATGTGGTACTTGGTCACTCCATTCCTAGTGAGAGAAGGATTGAGACTGCACAGCACGTTCGTCAAAGCCACCAGTCTTAAGTATCGGTGATACAGGTTTGGGTAGCCAAGGAAGGATGAGAAAAAAGATGGTGCAGTAGATGAGATTGTTGATAACTGTTACTATAGGTAAGGACTGCTTGTGACAGTAACACAGTAACTTCTGGCCATTTCACAGCCTTCAAATCATTTCTCCTTTTCCTTTCTCTCTATTGTGTGGCCCATACTAAACAGTATTTATCACACATTCATTCTTTCAGGAAAAAAAATCAATATAGTCCAACCTTTTGGTTTTAACATGCTGCTGAGATAACACATTTAATAAAAAGTGAAGAGCTAAAAGAAGATAAATATTTGACTCCTTTTCTGCAGGTCTGGAACAACAAAATCCTAAATAAAATTGAGTACTCAGTGCCTGTGTTTCAATCTTTGCTTCTTTCCCATCCAAATGAACAGATAAATACGGCACTTCTTAAACAGAAGTTTTATTGTCTAATGAAGTAATGGACACTCTCAAAACAACAGCAAGTAATGTTATTGACAGTTATCATTTTTGGTAAATATATATGTAACCTTGAGATGTTGGTGAATTCAGATGTCTTGTGAAAGTCAAAGGACACGGTCTTTTCTCAAACAAATAAAGGGGATACTGCACAGTGAAACACCAAGAACAGCTCTATCAAGGATGTGCTGACACCACGTCAGGATAACTGATTATATACAACGTCTGTACAAATGTGCTTTTACGGCAGAGGTTCATGTACAGCCATGGGTGGCCTGAAATCAGGTCAACGTTCACGCTAGCCGTGGGTCGTCAAACATAAGCACATGGTGCGTTTGTCAGTTGTAGTGTTTACTTCCTTCGGGAAGTTCAGCAGTGCACCTGCAGTTCATGTGTGCTCATCTATATCCTCTTTCAGCTGCCGTTCAGCAGACTGTACCATTCTCCATGCGAGATTTGGGGTATGTAGTGCGAGGCGGTGGCGGAGGCTGGATGGAAGGTGCCAACGTGCAGAAAAAACCAGCGATGAGGGTTAGACCCAGCCCACACCAGGCACTGAACATGGACCAGCCGTAACCATGGCCTATGTCATCTGGTAGAGTGAACAGGGAGCGTGGGTAGCGAGACAGTTCAAAGTTGATGCCAGCCACGCAAGTACACAGGGCAATGATGCAGAAGGTACCTATGATGAGACAAAACATTCAATTCAAAATCAGGATAGATAAACATGAAATCAAGAAATCTAAGAAAAGAAAACAAACCCCGGAAGCTTTCGATGCATCCAGTCTTACCTCCCATGAGGAAGAGCAGGCCAGCCACATAATGCATCAGGCCCTGTTCCCAGCAGCAGCCCAGAAGCCCTATTGTCCAGCCAAAAAGGATTATGGACAAAGCCATGCCCATAAAGCCAGCCGTCATCCGACGCAGATCTGAGCAACAAGGCTTATTGTTAACATGAGCAAAGATTTAGCAAGTACACTGATGCAGTATCAAAGCCATTGGCCAGCAGCGGTCTGCTCCCATAAGCAACCTTTCAGATTACTGATGCATATTCTTTTCGTTTGCTTGGTGATAGAAAACCTCTCAACCATATAAAAAGTACTAGTGTGAAAGAAGGCCCATTATAGAGTATATCTCTCTGAATAAAGAGGGTCTCTCACTTACGCAAGGCATGCCAGTCATCCTGCTGAATGGTCCTTGTAATATTGTAGGAGAAGTCCTTTCGTACTGAGGTTGATGCTGAGTAGTAATACTTAATGTAGGAGCACCGCTCAATTATCCCTACAAGAGGTAAAGAAAGGTGATTTATATCTAGGAGTGGGAAAATGGCAGTATTTATCATTATTGTGATGAATTACATCACATTATGTCACAATATTCTTATCTGAGCATATTGTGGATATTGTTAGTACAATGAAAACTGATTGTTTTATTACAAAGAGAGTGTAGTTATGCCTGTTTAATTGGATTTAGGGCAGAGCAGTATGTGGAACATTGAATAAAAATCCTTCTCTCTATGTTCCAAATACTAAACATCATGATGCATATTGTGTATCATGATGTTATTTTTTTGCCATATCACCCACCCCTATTTATATCAGGTAGTGGCAGAAGGCACACAGACAACCAAATGGAGATGTATTGTATCTGACAGAGCTGGGACAAAGGAAAAGAGCCAGTCTTATTCATGATCAGCATGAGTAAAGTACACAGATGGCTTCTGACTTGATGCTGCCTCTGATCATATGGTCCAAATCTCTATCTGCCATTCATGGAAAGGCCAATTACTCATGTTGTGTGTAAAACCAAGATGCCCAACTGGTAACTTCATTGTCAACACATCTAGGCCTACATCCAACACTTATAGGTGTGCCTACTAATATTCAAAGGTGACTTCAGAGATTCAATAGCTTTGAAGATGTTTAGAGCATCGTCGAGGCTGGTGCTCTCACATCTGACTGTATTATGGATTTCTAAGGGCAAGCATCCTCATATAAAACTGATTATATAGCGTTGATTGCTAGCCATCAGTGTCAGTGCTATAATCCTGAGCAAATGACTGCATTGATGGACGATTTGATGTCCATCCCTGGACAACAATAACAACAGTGTTTTTAAGAAGCCATACTGCAATAAACCCTATGTGATGATGCTGCGTTAATGCCCACCTTGCTGAATGAGCTCCTCGACGTCTTGGTCGAAGCCGAGCCTGTAGCATTTGGTCCACAGCCCCATGTTGGTGGAATTGTAGCGCCTGCTGCACTCGTCCGCGGCGCTCATGGCGAACAGATGCCGGCGGTTGCGAGGCGCCAGGTGCCGGGGCTCCGCTCGCTCTTCCCCGCGGTGCTCAGCGCGGGCTGCCCGCAGAGGGAGGCTGTGGTTCGGGATGTAGATGAAGCCGGGGTCGCTGCGGCGGTTCAACAAAGTTCGGCAGCGCTCCTTGTACCTCCTGGCGTCCGTTTCGTACCAGTGGTCGGAAGAAATAGCGACGGTGAGGAAACACAAGGCGACCAGAGAGAGAGACAGACCGGCGTACAACAGCCACTTCCCCGTCGCCATCGTGGCTTCTCCTAAGGCCGCATCAGCAGCAGCAGCCCGCCATGGAGAAAACTCCTCCTCAGAGAGGCTCTGAATCACAGCAGCCTGCGCGCATCCTCCCGCAATAAGACACTATTCACCTGCTACTATGCTCTTTCGAATGAATCGTCATAAGTGGAAATTAAAACAGACCCACAGACGGTTCGGACGTCAATCAGTCCTCCTGCGTTAAGCGGAGCAGGTTTAGCTGTGATCGTCGCACCTCATCCACATCCAGCCGTTTACTCTTCCCTAAACTGCATAGCCTAGACCGACACACAGCAATCAGGCTGAACTGGAATACACTCCACTGCCTTAAAGCACATATATAATCACAAGTCACATATAGGCCTGCAATTCTGTAAAATAAAGATCAATATCTTATTGGATTGAATTTAACCATGCAAAAACAAAAAACTAAACCCCCGTTTAAAGGGTGTGCATGTGTGTATATGTATATATGCCGTACAGAGATTTTACCAGGCCTGCTTCTTATTTTAATAAGCTTGAGAACAAAAAAAAATTAGGCTTGAGTTCACTTTATTAAAAATTAATAATGAAGTCCTGAGGATTAGGAGCTATGACAAATGGCTGCATGACATCAAAAGCAATTACACATGTATTAAAATAGGTTAGGCTGTAAAATGTCATCTGCATTACTATTCTGCCAGAGACTGTTCTTAAAGTCAGTGTGACCATGCTCATGCATTCAAATGTTGTTTAAGGATTCTCCTTTATTTAAATACAATCCTGAAAAATAACACTACATTATTTCTTTCAGTGTTCTCTTAAATGGACATCCTCTTGAAGAAGCAACTTTTTTGAGAGCTATATACAGTCTGAGGAACATGAATAGTAAGGCAAGTAGTACTGAGATATTGAAATAATTATTGATTGATAGTGTTAAACATTATCAATTTCACTATAACCCAGTCCTTATATGAACTGGGTTAAGACTGGAGTAATTGATCATTCTATAAAATAAATTCAGCTCCATGAGAATGCCAATAACATTAGATATTCAACAGCTTGTAACATTGAAAACAGTTACATTTAGTAAACCAAAGCGACACAGGAAACAGGCAGTTTAACATACAAAATGATCTCAAAGTAGCTTTATTGTGAACTTCAGAATTACTAGTACAGATTCACTTATTTCAATGCATTATTTCCCACCAAAAAAAAAAGCAAATAAATAAAAGCACTCTAGAAACTGATCTACCCATCCTGGAGAGATCAGATTCAACACACCTGGCTCTAATTTTCAGACACTGCTGATCAGGTATGTTAATTCAAGACCCAACTCTGCAGGGTGGTAGATCTCCAGGACCAGAATTGGGCCCCTCTGCACTAAACTGAAGGTGCTTTCCACAGGATCCCTAAGCAGTTCGGTTATATTCCCTGAGAGCACAGGAGAGTCAAGAGAACTGCAGCTGATAATACCTTCATCTAGAACATCCCACAGAATCATAAAAACATGAAGCAACACATCAAGAGAAACAGACTGATGGATAAACATTCCTAAAATGTAATCAACCATTGTTCACTACTCACTATGCAGTCTAACATTCCCTTCCAATCAACATCTTCACTCCCTTTTGGTTTAGAATCAATTGTAAAATATCAACACTACAGAGCCCTTTTACAACAGTACAGTACCAATCATGCACCTAGACAACTCCTATGCTACGAGAGTAAAGGTTAAACCAACATTTAATTTGCATGCACTTAATGTTTTGATCAAAGGTTATTTAAAAAAAAAGTAAGGAAAGGACTCCACCTTCTCTTTTGGTCCATTTTAGTAATTTATATTTCCCCAATTGCTTGGTGGGTTTGGTTTTCACCCTGTTCTGCTGTTAGAAGCATCTGGAATGTTTTTGCCTTGTCTTTACTGCTGCTGCTGCTTACAGCTCACCTTCAAGCTTTCACATTTTACACCAGAGGTGATGAACTCCATTCCCACAGTGCCAGAGTCCTGCATGGTTCAGTGGCGTTCCTTCTCAAACACACCTGATGGGAGCAGACCACCAAGTTTAGCAGTAGTTTTGTGCGTTAAGAGAAAAAGCACAAAACTGTGCTGGACACAGGCCCTCCAGGACCACAGCTCACCACCCATGTTTTAGACCAAAAGGCTCCCAAAAGTAAAGAAAAGCATCTAAAACTGTACATTCTGCTCCATAAGCAGTTCCTCTGCAGCTCATTGAGAACTCAGTACTTGGGTTCTCACCCAAAACTTTTACTCCAATATAGAGTTTTGGTAGTTTATTTTTTAATCTTTCAATCATTATCTAAAAATAAATAAATTACTTGAACCTGGCTGTAGGTCACAGACCATCTTCATGAAGGTTGTGTTAAAGAGCCAAAAAGTGGAGTCATGGTTTGAGCAGGAAGGATTTCATTTAACTATTCAGATGCAGACAAACAATGATGGTGCTATAGGTTACATAAACCTTCATACAGTCAAGCTCAAACTTCCAGAGCACAACACAAGCTTAATTTACAGCTGCTAAGAACAGCCTATTAAAAACCACCTTTTGCACAGGGTGGCATCAGCACTAAAATCAATAAGCCCACCCTGATGTTCCTTTTTGAGAACTGATTCTCATAAATTAATAAAATAACTTTCAGTAAACTAGATGTCTTCAAAAGAACTGAATGTCAATGATAAAAATTAAAAGATGAAGGCATGAAAAAAAAGCCATTTTTCTCCCTCAGGTTCTTATACACACACACACCTTGCTATACTTGTGAGAACCTCCCTGGGTTCCTATGGATTTCTGTATGGCTGTAGCCAAATACTACACCTAAGCCTAACCTCAGTACCCAAAAAGCAGTTTTTCTGCAAAAGATTATAAACTGTGGTGAACACCATATGCTCAAGTGTCATGTCCCATCATTGTGAGGACTTGTGGTCCTCACAGGAATAACAAGAGCATGCACATCTTAGTGAACGCTACAGGCATTTCATGTAATTACACATCACTTAAGCAGGTTGTGGCAAGTTACTTAAGAGCAAAGACTTCCACATCATGTCTACATTTACTACTTTTCTGACAGACTCACCCTGCACAAGAAGACCTAAAACAAGATATTAACAATATATCAGCCTCAATTACTTAGAACCACATTCAAGCCACAGTAGCATCACAGAGTCCTAACATACATGCTCAAAACTTCTCTATTCCCCCATGTCTCCCATTCAACTAACCAAAATTACCCTAATCAAGACAGACAAGCCTTGAACTCCAGACATTACCTTCAGCCGGTGTTCTAACCGGTTCAAATCAGTTAGTTCACATTAGAATTAGAGTTCAACAGATACTACAGTTAAACAAACAAAGCAGAAAATCAACTTCATTACTTAAGCTGGTGTTTGAGCGGGGGCTATTCTGCATCACCATTAGGAGGATGTGCAAACAGAAGCCCCACTCAGTTTACTCTGCTCAGTTCTGAAGCCTTTTCGGTAACAAGCGCAGTGCAGCAGAGGAGAACTCTTCGCGGCAGCCTTGCTGTCCACAGCACGAGACGCTCGAACCGGAAAGACTGAGCACAAGAGAGTACTCTCCGAGCTTTTTTAAGCGTACCAGGACCGGCGGAAAGTTTCCTGTAACTTACTGAAAGCTAGAGATAAAACAGTAACCACAACAGACAGGAAACACAGCTTTGTCTAGGGTTAGGAGGCGTACTCTGATTCAGCTGCTCTGCGCGCCCGTTTATATAGACCTGGTGACGCGTACCCTCGTGCTTGTCTTCGATTGGCTAGTTTTCCCGCCAAAACAAATTTTACAATTTAAAGGGACCGCGCATGAACGCGATTCCACACAGAGACCCTTAGAGAAAAATCACATGACTTTTACCTGTGAACTGTCACGTGTTATTTTAGAGACTTGGCACGTTATTTTATTACTGCATTTTTCCCACGTGATGCGTGTTTTTATTTGTGATTTCATCACAGGTTCGTTCATTTACACTTTTCACAAAATTACATGGTGTAGCATCTTGAAATAGACTTGTGGATCACATTAAAAGGTTACATGAGATAATGTGATCACGTGCAATTTCAGAGCAAACCAAATTAGCCTTATTACTGTGCAGTTTGCTCTACAGTTTGTGCTTCTTACAAAAATACACATACATTTCACGTGATCATATTTGATGTATCTAAAAACACCTGCTCATAAGTAAACACATGGGACACATAACTTCCATGGACACAAATAGCCTGATTGGTTGTCATACGTGAACATGTGATTTTTCGATGCATCACATTTAATCACATGTGGAATGTATATTTTCTGTAGGAAGCACAAACTGTACACACTGGTTCTTTAAGGGTTCTTTAGTTAAACAAATGGTTCTAAATGGAACCATGAACACTCAAAGAATTGCATGATTAAAAGGTTCTTTGCATCATGAAAGGGTTCTTCAGATTGATGGAGAATGTGCTGTATATGGTTCTATATAGAACCTTTTTGGAAATTGTTCCTCTATTGTTACAAGCTCACATCGTAATAGCAGAACGCTTTTTGTGCTGTATAGAACCATCTATAGCACATTCTCCATCAATCTGAGGAACATTTTCATAATGCAAAGATCCTTTTAATCATGCAGAGGGTTCTTTGAGTGTTCATGGTTCTATATAGAACCATTTTCCATAGAACCCTTGAAGATGTATCTTTTTAAAGAGTGTAGACATAACAAGATATTGCATATTAATATGGCTAATTTTGTTTATTCTCAAATGTTGCAAAAACTAAACATAAATGTGAAATGTTTTATTTCATACATGTATATCTACAGTCATATGCAAAAGTTTGGGCACCCCTGGTGAAATCAAATATTTTTAAAAATGTTCTCAATAAAAAGGTGCACTTCTGAGCATTTTAATGCATAATTACTACATTGGCTGTATATTTAACATATTGGGAGACAAAAAACTTATAATGTGGCCTGTGCAAAAGTTATGGCACATTTTATATTATATTATGTAATATATTATATGTAACATGTTTGACTGGGGGCATTTAAACTATTCCATATGACTGCCATTTTACCATTTATCCAGACAATAACACTGTATACAAACAGAAGCAAAAACTATAATTGCAGTGACAAGTAACAAGAATTTCTTGTTTTTGAAAAGGCAGTTGATATCTTGGGAGCTAGGTTGAAGAACAAAGTTTGGTCCCAGATTTCTCATGGATGCCCTCAGCCATCACATGGATTCGTTA